CAATCGTAATTCATTCCACTATGACATCCTGAAACAATTCACTCTAAATGTGACAAAGCACGAAGAAACGGCCATAACTTCAAGCTTTTCACCAGGATGATCCATAACTTTATCTGAGAAATAGATCTGTAAAATCAGGAATAAAGAGTACCGTTTTATTTCAGAACTGTCTCTACTCAGTTCCATTTATTTTCACAGCTAGCAAAAATCACCTTGAATTATTTTTATTTTTCCTCCCCATCTTTTAACATTAGATTGATGCCTCTGTGCCATCACCGGTATCGTTATTTAATATTGCTCAAGCTTAAATTCAGCATGTTATTCCACCAATACGCATACACCTCGAACATCTCAGCAACTAATTCACTCACCAACCGGAGTATATTCTGAAGCAGAGTAGTACTGTCACAGTACGTGATAGTTCAGTGAGAGACGGTTTCAAAGTGTTTATAATTAATCTGGTCAGAATTTTGAAAGGACATGTTAGAGAGAGAGAGAGAGAGATCATGGCAGTTCCGTAGTTCTACTGTTGACACAAAAACAGATTTATATGATAGTTCTCTTCTCAGAGGGCACGAATAAATTCGAATCAAATTAATCGGAAATTTTAATTCCGACTAAATCCCTCTCCTATTATGCTCAAATTTCTTATATATCTATATATTAATATTCATAAGAGCATAATAACAATTGACAGTTTTTTGTTCGTGAAGACCACTTTACTCTCTTGAATTTTGTATTCAGTTTATGACTCAGATTGATAATGAAATTAATATAACTCGACTATTAATTTTTCCCATTAGCAAAACCCTGATAATCAGTCCCCACAGTTAGTGACAAACAATACCTAATTATCTCAGAAGATAAATGAATGTTAAAATCGTAGAAGGCTTGGTTAATTTCTTTAAGAACACCGCTACATAATTCCTTTAGGGCACAAGACATGATAATGACATGCTGAAAGTGGTCAGCCGAATTAAGACCCTTCACCTCACCAATCTAATAGTGGTAGTAAGCAGTCTTCAGGATACAGAACATGATAAAAGAATTTTTTTACTTTAACAATCTAACTTTATGTAGACAAAACTTCCTGTAAAGTTTAGGAGTATTGTGTCATTGAAGAAATTCAGTTATGGTTAAGCGTGACGCCCTACTTAAAAAGATATTTTATCAAGACTGAATTCCTCACACGTGAAACATTTACCCTACTTGTTAACCTTGATTTTCCATCATAAAATGATTTCTACTTTCAATCATTGTTTCTATCATTTTGTTCAAACATAGAAAATCCTCTGAATCTCAGACAGCACACTACCTTCAGAAACATATCACATCGACTATCTGTCACCTTTACCATTCCCGCACTCCCGAAGGAAAGACTAACCTGCAGTATCACATAGAAGCTCTCGTTGCATGCCACAAAGTTGCGAAAAAACTGATCCCTAACGTTTTGCAACCTAGACTTCTGTTACAACTGTTTGAGTGAATTAATGTGGTCTGAGAGTTATGATAGTTAATTAATTGAGTGTAATGATATTAGTTGTAAAGAGATAATTTATATTATTGAAAGTTTTGCCAAAGCGGAATTGCCGAATAATATTGAAAATGTTTTTGCTTTAATATCAAAATGCTCGTTGAAATTTTGTTAGTTTTGAATTGATTGAATGTGTTTTTTGTTTGCTGTTTAATTTCACATCTAAGGTGCTTATATTACGTCATCAAAGGTACCTTATGATCATTACTGTTTTCTTTTTCAGGTGCAGTAGAAGGAGATCCTTGAAGTTGCTTCATCACCTGCTTTAAGCTTGCGTGGGCAAAAATCTCTGATTTTCAGAGAATTATGGTATGTTGCAATACCCAGTCTGAGTGATCTCACTTCATCTTACTTTTGTTGGATCCCATACTCATCTCTGCCCACCGCTATGAAACATATTTTCAATAGCCTCCAACTTGTAACTCCGAAATATAAAGTCAAACATGGAACCCTAAGTTGTATTATTTTTCATTAGACAAAGGTTAGAATCAGTACTGTGAGCCCTCGAACATTTCATGAGGTCTCTGAAAGGTAATTATTCGGCAGTCATAAAAAACTTGTTAAAATGTGTAAAAAAAATTTTTGTTGAATATTTCTAGGGAGACCAGCAGCTGGACTGCGCTTTAGATTTGATGAGGCGTTTGCCACCTCAACAAGTAGAAAGAAATTTGAATGATCTAATTGATTTGTGTCCTCGCTTGGTGGATGATTTGTTGAGTGCGGTTGATCAGCCGCTAAAAATTGCTCGTGATAAAGAAACAGGAAAGGAATACCTCCTTTGTGATTATAATAGAGATAGCGATAGTTATCGGTTAGTCTTTGTTTGAAACTTTTTAATTTCATGTAATTTTTGTCATATATTAGTTTTCAGATTCACTTTAATGCTTGTTTTGGCGCTTTTGTCATTAATTCGTATATCACTACACTGTTTTCACTTTTTTCTAGCTCACCATGGTCCAATACTTACGACCCACCATTGGAAGACGGTGCTTCCCCATCAGATAAACTCCGTAAGCTGGAAATTGAAATGAATGCTGCATTTGAGGCTTATAGAGATGCGTAAGTCTATATTAATTTGGTCGCTTCAGCAGATGAAAATGTTTTGAAATCGAAACAACTTTATTATTTCAAAAGTACATTACTATTTAAATATAAATTGTTGGTTAATGTCTTTTTTCATGTACTTGTTACTGCTGACAAAATTTAGGTTGTAAATATTTTTACAGATATTTTGAGGGTGGCGTGTCCTCAGTGTACTTCTGGGATTTGGATTATGGTTTTGCAGGCGTTGTTTTAATCAAAAAAATTGGAGATGGTTTGCGTAATATACAGGGTTGCTGGGATTCAATCCATGTAATCGAGATACAAGAAAAAGTATATTTTCTACACTGTTGTGGATTTTTTTCTGTTTTCTACTAATTTTTAAGGAAATTTTTAAGGGCTCTTTTTTGTTTTTCAGGCTGGTGGAAGGCATGCTCATTACAAACTTACAAGTACAGTGATGCTTTGGCTACAAATGACTAAACAAGCAAGCGGTATAATGAATTTAGGAGGATCAGTTACGCGACAGGTGATTTTCATTTTTCATTTTAGCTAACTACAAATAAATAATTTTGCTGCTCTTTATTTCACATCGAAATTTGTTTCATTCATGTTTACTATTCTTTTTTAGGTTGAAGCTGACCACCCGGTAAACGATTCTACAAATACCCATCTTATTAATATTGGCAAAATGATAGAGGTGAGAAACTTTCTTCAGATCTTTCTCTTCTGAATGGATTGAAATCGTTTGTTTCAAATAACAGCATTTTTTATTCTATTGAAAATAACCACTTCATTTCACTAATTTTCTGATATTCTTTTTACTTCCTGAATTTAAGGATATTGATCAATATTAGCTGGTGACTGAAGCAAATTTGACTAATCAGTAAAATATTCATTTTCAGGATATGGAGAGTAAAATTCGATCAACTTTAAATGAAGTTTACTTTGGGAAAACCAAGCAAATTGTTGGTGAATTACGGACCACACTTGATGCTGAGGAGCTGAAACGACAAAAGAAAATTGCAACGGAGATAAAAGGAGGTATTGGCAAGTGAAAAAAAAAAAGCAAAAGAGATTTATATGTGCTGCAACACAGCTGTTTCACCATTTTCTTTAAAAGGGCTTTTTGGTGCGCTTTTTTGTTTTCCATGTTTTTCAAATGTTAATTTAGATAGAATGCTTCTTCAGTATTGTAAAGATATCCTTATAACTGCTAATTATACGTTTAATTATCTGATTTTTCCACTCATTCACTGTAGTGCTTCATAATGGTTTAAATGCATGATTATTATACTGGATCTCCTGGGGAAAGCATCTAATAGAAATATCAATTTGCCGCTCGGGAACTATATCGGTTATTTGATTTGTAATTGTTACTTACTTATTGCTGCAATGGAAGAATTTTGTTTATTTAAGATGGGCTGTGAACATGGAATTGCTGTGTTGCTACATTTCATAAAAACTGCAAATTTTACTCATTTTCTGTAACTTTTACTTGTCAATATGCTGATAGGATTGTACTTCATAATTTTTCTATGTGCATTGCATAAGTTTCTTTTTTCCAAAATCATTCCTAAATTTCTGGATTTTCGATTTTGACTGGTTATGCCAAATACCTAAAAAAGTTCTATTATCGCAACTTCATTGTCTGTTAATTTTTAATCGATTTTCATTTTGTTAACGTCTAATTTTGAAAAACGAATACATCAGCTTTATTCATTCATCATTTGTTTGTTTCTCTCTTCATGTAAATTTAAATTATTGCGATCCGCTGTTGTAATTCATTATTCATACACTTTACTGTGTGTTGCGTATTCAGTATTGCGAAAATATATATCAGACATCCAAAAAAAAGGAATGATTAACAACAATTATCAACTCTGACAAGCTTAATTGAATCTCCGGAATTTATACCCGTTTTTTCCCCTCTCCTCCCTCTTTCACGCCTGCCGTACTTGATCTTGTCAAGGGATTTTACTGTTTTGGTTTGTTCAAAATTAATCAGAATGAAAGCGATTTTATTAGAACTAATGTTTTAGGAGGCTGGATTTGTTTAGAGGATCAAAAGGTCCAAAAGTATGGCATTTGAAGATGAACTTATGTGATTTATTGCTGATTGGTGACCTGATTTGCTTCTTTACCTATTATGACGTATTTCTGTTCATACACATGCACCCAAATACACTTGCATCCGTGTCCGTTCAAAACAATTACGCAATTTAGGACAGATTTCAAGTTTCCAGAGAAACAGCAAAGTGCTGAAAATGAGAGACTATTCTACGAACACAGACACAAATGCACACCCACATACAATTAATAAAGTTGATTCCTGTGTTGTTCCTTTCACTGAAAACATCCCATCTTTTTGTCAGCTTTTAAAATTTACCAGTCTTCTCCCTTTCGACCATTCAACATTTATCAAATGGCTATTACTGTTGCCTTCACTGATTCTTTCATTAATTTGCCGTCGCTCCTTATTTTATTATTATCCGCAATAGGTAACTGCAAATCGAACATTGATGGTAAATTTTAGTTTTCACTATTTTTATTAATTAGTGATCTTTCACTCGTAGTCGCTGCTAATTTCATTCTTCCTCCATAAGAATCTTACAAGTTCTTCTTATTCTCTGTCTAGTAAAATAAGTTATAACTTAATTCAAACGAATATTAATAATAGTTAATGGGCATGATTAGTGATATTATGGATTGCATTATATAACAATGAAAGCAAATAGAAGTAAACGTGGAACCGTTGATTTCTGCACCTTTTCTTCTTTCTCCGAATAGGCAATTTTCAGTTTCAACATAAAATTATTTTAAATTTAAAAAATATCCGTTAAAGCTTTGAAACCATGTTTCGAACAACACATTGGTCAACAGCTATCGGATTTGTCACCATATCATAGCGAGTGGCGAATGAAAACACCAGAAGAGTGTTTACTGTTTTGTGCTCTTTCTTCGGTATTATGAGTTTTGTTTGTTTTTTTTAGAATTTCGTTTTAAATTTTTCTTCATTTCTTGATTATAAATACATAGGCAGGCATTTATGTCGGAATTTCTTCACTGACTTTTTCAAGTGAAAAGAAGAAGGTGTTAATATTGATGTTGATTGGATACTTTTAAGTTTGATTAGTACCTTTCAGTTTATAGTTTCTATTTCTTCCCATCCATTTGCAAGTAATTATTGTTCCTTATCTTTCTCAATAACGTAACTTTACAGTCTCGCTGTCGGTCTACAGTTCATGATACCTTCCAACACATTTGTCATTATTTCTTGGATGATGGTCAGCAACATTCACAAATAGCTCGTGGCATGATTTACTTCCGAGTAGTTGAAAAAAATTGCTTGGGTAAGATTGAACTGTCGTTCGTTATGTTAGTAAGAGCAGTGTCATGAAATGTTATTTCAGAGATCATAAAATTACTGCATTTAATATGAACCATTGAATTAATATCAGTTTAAATAATTTAATAACAAATTACTACTTCATTCGCTAAAATTCCATTCCATTTTACTCGATCCTTACAATTATTTCATTTACATTATTTAGCTGTTATCAATTTGGCATATTTTTACCTTTAATTTCTCTTACAGACCAATTTTTAAATGGCTTCAACCTCACATTTCTGGGTTCAGAATTCGCAATCTCAGAGGCATTACCATCTACTCCGAAGTATGACACAAACACAGGTTTTATTGAATTACAGCGACCTGCAGTAGCGCATGCAAACCCGTTGATTCATATACCACCCGGTGGTCGAGCTATAACTCCCACTCCTTATTTCGATTATTTTGATAGTCAACAAAAACTTAAGAAGAATGAAAAGTTTGACGAATCGAATCTTACTACTGCAACTTCCATTATAACTACTTCTGATAAAACTATCGTTTCTGCTAATGGTATTACTGTTAATACTTTTACTTCTTCACCAACTGCATTATCAAAGGTACTCTCTAAGGGTTATCAAATTTACGACGAATCTGCTCAAATGATACCAGCTTCCAAATTTTTTATGTCAACTTTTCCAACGTTGTTGTCCACACACAAAGAAAATTTAATTAATTTAACATCCAGAAGAACTAAAGTATTGGAAAAATCAAGTCATGAAACCCACTCATCTGATGATGCTTTATCTTTCACCGAAAACATCAGGAAGCTTACAACGCTTAGCGCAAATTTCGAAAAAGATCGTCAGGAAAATGGTGTTGATTTGAATAAACTGTTGAAAATGGTTACGGAAGACATACGACGATCACCAATTAAAACTTCCATAATAGATGTGGAAAAGTTAGATGAGGTGGAATTAACAATTCGTCCTTTTACTTCTGTTTACTAATATAAAAATAGCAGTTACCAGAGTTTCAGTCAATTTTAGGAAGAAATCTAAACACCAAATTATCTTTCACATTCAGCTCCGTTCTTTATAGCTCAAACCACATATGCGAATTCAAAAAAATTCTGAAAATCATGCTCTTCTTTAAAGAGAAATACAAGTTGTGAATTCTCTTAAACTGTTGCTTGCTTTTCTCAATTGACTCTAAATTGAAATTTATGTGTGACAGATTTTTACTACAAATTTAGTTTGTGATGAAACAATTATTTAGAACCCAAATGAAATGATGACACTCATTCTGGATAAGTTGATACCAATTTCGACAGTTAAATCGATCTCCATGACACTTTCTAAGCAAAATAATAGAGCAGAAAGATTTCTTCCAACAGGTTTTCTTTTTCGATGAAACTGATGTTAATCATCAAATCTTTCTCATCAACCAAAGATTTGAGGAGCGTATGAAATTTCATGAATTATTTCTAGTAGATGATATTAGCTACTCTTTTTAGTTCGGATAGCGTAACAGAATTGATCTCAAAAAATCTCATTAGTCTTGAAGGAGATTAGTATAACTGTATCATAATTTGCATTGAAGTTGCATTTATCAACTAATAATACTTACCTGTAAGTACTATAATAAGTACATAGCAGCAATATGTGGAAGCGATGAGCGTGAAGTATGGCTCACTATCGTAAATGCTGTATTAGAAGAGAACAGGTTGCAAAAGAAGACAAGTGCTGGGTCGTACAACTCTTGCAAAATTAAGTGTAACCTTATCACTGTTCGTTCTTACACATTATTTATGAGACCTAATTACCTAATAAATAAATCAATAAAGGAATCGAACAGAAAAAGATATCAATTAACAGTTCTCTTACTTTAAAAACTAATAAGTGAATTGTATTGATTATTTACTTTTATTGATAATTTCAGTTATAGGTTTCTGGGAGAGACTGTACTTCTTTCACTTATGATGCAGTAAAACGACATTGTGTGACACATACCAATAATAACGCCGTTGTAGCATCTTTAGCTTTTTCACCATCACCTGAATCCGATTTCAGCATTCGAACGGCAGTGAAATTCTGCTATCCAGGTTTAATTCTCGTTCTGTTAGTCATTAGTCTTAGAAAAAAAATGAAAAGATATTTGAATATTCAAGTTGGAAATTAAAGAACTAATATTATAAGCAGTCGTGCTAATTCGTACTCCTTATAATTATAGAAAGTTTGATTCTTCTCGAAGAATGTTCTGAATTTATTGCGTTTCTGGATTATGTGATCGATATTAAGCCTCGAGAAATTTTTGACGGTATTCCGAGAGGTCATCAAGGATTACATGCGTGCATTGAGCTATGTGTCTTGGCACCTCATTTTCACTGCAAGGTATTCTTTGTTAGTACCAACTTCTTCCTAAGCAAGACAGTTGCATATCATTTAACTTATATAATTTTTCACAAAATCTGTTCTGTCATTCACCAGATTATATCTTCTAGTGATAATACAAAGCATTTTTCCATAAGAAATTTAATGATTCATTCAACTAATACTTTTTTTTACATTAAAGTTCTGAGTTTTGACATGAAATGGAAATAGGACTGCTAATATCTCTTATAAAATTTAATCTTCTTATCGTTGTACATTTTTATTTTGTTTTCCAAACAGTTCGTGACTATAATTTCTAAAATCTTTTAGAATATAGTGGCTTGATCTTTTTAATTCATTTAATTTTGAACTTGCAGTCGGCAGCATTTGTTGTTAATTTGGGCAAATGTTTGTTGTATGATGAAAATTCATTATCAAGCCCTGAATATTTTCAAGAGCATCAGCAGTATGGATTGATTTATTTCGAGAATGGATGCAAGCAGTTTGATAAAACACAAAGTTGGATTAATTTTTCTCAGCATTTTATTAAATTTTAAGGAAAAATATAAATGCTTAGCTATGAGAGAATTGTTTCTAAACTAAAACAACTACCAGATTCCAAAAAGTTCATATAACATCGATTCCTTCCTGCTACTGCTAAATGAATATTCCAAAAAACAAGTTTTTTAGTTCCAACGGAACGTCTCCAACATCTCTCAATGAAACGACCTAACAATGTTCGATAAAAGCAATGAGAACAGATTTCCGGTGCTTACTTGAAAATCAATCATTCTTATTGAAAATCATTAAAATCAATCATTGAAAATCAATACTTGAAAATCAATCATTCTTATTAAGAAATAAGCTGAAATCCGCAGCATAAATGAGTGCATCACTAGTATACCTTACTATTTACCATCAGTTCTACTTATAGACTTTTTGGATCAGTATAGCTAATGAATTAATTTGTGTTTATATTACTATTTATTTTCGTGTTTTCAGAGAATCTCACTTGATGAAATCTCACATAGGTGTGATCAGTTGCAAATGAATCATAGCATTACTACATTGGTTAATAACCAAACTAATACTTACTTGTTTGGCGTGAGAACCGCCTATAAGTTGACGTAAGGTAGAGTGTTATACAATCATATATATCTTCGCCTTCAGTCCGCACCTTCTATGCTACAATTAAAACATTAAACTCACAGACTTTTTTTGTTAAGTCATTTTGAATATTGTGAATAAATATAAACATACTATCGTATTCACGTCAAATCTCAGCGTGTAGCGTGTCTTTTTGTGCTACTCTTATACTGGCTCAAAGAATGTTTTGCTGGCAGCCATAAAAGATTCCAGAAATTATTAATGACGATGTGATTAAGATTACTTGCAGTAAGACAAGAAACCTCCTCAAAATCAGAAATATCAATTGCTGAAAATACTCAATTTTTTTTTTCCAGGAATGTAGCAATGATTTTTAGCCCTGATTACTTAAATATATACAACAAGCACATATTAAATAATTTAATTAATAAAATCACGATATTATTACTCGCCATCTCATAACAAGAGAAAAAGGTTTGTTGATGATTCATTAGGAACTATTTTTCTTGAAAACGCAGTGAACTATTTGCGCTATTATTTCATTCTATCGTTTTCTTCGTCTTTGATTATTCTAATGTCATTCAGAATCCTTTTCACACCATTTCAAAAGGTTTCTTTTTTTGTGAAATTCTGCTGACAAAAAAGCATTGAAAATTTTTGATTGCTTTAAAAAAAAAAAAAAAAAAATCGATTTTGTTAGAATTTTCAATTCAGAATTCAATTAACTTTATGCATTTAATCATTTGTTAACATCACACTACCTGTTTTTAAGTGATAATATCATTTCTTTTAATTTACATTCATTTCATTTTCCATCACCTGCTATTTTCATCACCTGATAAGAATATGGCTTACCCAGTGACCTCATTTTTTTCACTTGTTTTATGCATAGGAAGTGTCTATAGTTATTTCAGATATTGTATTAATAATACTTGAATGTGATGCTCTTTCATGTATTGCGTACACGAATAGATTGATTGACCGATAGATTAGACATTCAATATTTTGAAATGACAACAAACATCATCTGACCTTGTTCTGGCGTAGTAACTCATACTTCTTCTTCTTTGTTAATTTTTGAACAAAAATTTTTCAGTTCAAAAAATCTGGATCATTGTGTACTTTAAAGAAATAAGGAGAAGATAGAAGGAATCATTACAAAAAGGGGAATAAATTTTACTAGATCAGCAATGTTCAACAAATCTTTCATCGAAATTCTGATATAGATTTTGGTTTAGGTGCTCTGCTTCAAATGATAATGATATTGGCAAAGCATTTCTGATCATTTAAATTAGTTAATGTATATTTTTTAAATTTTTTACTTGGGATGAATAACTAAAGTAATGAGTAACACTTTAAGAAAACATTCGAATAATTCTGCATTGTCTGTGTCTTGTTGCTACTATAAATAAGAGAGCTATTTTAGGAAAAGCGAAAGTCTGCCGAATGGTTTTTTTTTCCGGAAGGAAAGGATTATTAATTGTATCGAATAATAAGAAAAATAACAAATTCTAATACCATTAAATAAGGCGACTCAATTGCTTTCATTTATATGTATACGCGAGTGTGTGTGTGTGTGTTTATTTAATATTTGTTTAATGACTGTCCATTCATTTTCTTAGTCAAAAATTTTCACTGTTTCATTGAGAATCATTGATCTGTTGATAAGCTTTGAATTAACTAGTGAAACAATGGAATTTCTTATTGAGGAATAACGAAACTATTATTTCAATTTGGTTCATCCTTTATTCATAATTATTTTCCTTAAAGATTTTTAGTCATACTAGTGTTGAAGTGTATCTGTCATCACTCATTTCGAATAAGACCAAACTAATTAAATTCATTAGATTTGATAGATTCATTTCCAAATTGGATAGCAATGACAAGAAGAGAAATGATGAGAAAGAGTGAACACCATAAAAGGCATTGAACTTTGCATTACAATTATTCAAATTTCTAAAAAGTTTTGTAAATCAAAAACGCTTAAATTTCCTTCTCAATTAGTAAAATGAACTTTTAATTTCTCGAAAATTTTGCCATTCAAAATGGAAAAACTTTTCGTTTCATTTATTAAATACCTTATACTTTTTCACACTCAGTTATTACTTATTTACTGAGTATTTTCAACGAATAAATTAACAATACTTAGAATACTAATAAGGTAATCTGCCAATGTAATATGGCTTCAGGGCTTCAACTTATTAGAACTGTCAGTGATTCAATTGCAGAATGTGTGCTATTTCATTGAATGCTGTTGTAATGATTATAGAGGTTAAATCCGGTAGTGCACTTAAATCCGTATATGCCGTGCAATGGAAAGATTCGATTGATCCGTAAGAAAAACGGTCGATCGTTTCAGCGCATTTATATGCCAGTTTTGATATTAATTAACACATAAATGCATATATTTAAATTTACATTAAAATTTTAAATTTGTACGTCTCTCCGTATATACGTGTGTATGTCTGTCTATCTGTCTGTTCCAATCAAACTTCATTTTTGTAAATTGTCAACGTTAATTGTTCATATTTAAAATTGGATTTTCTTAGCCAACAAGATTATCTTATGCTCAATACACAACAAAATGAAATCTCTCAATTGATGTAAATGAGGAAAACATTGATGAAATCTATCATTGCATTTATGCAATAATTTTAAAATTGTTTCTGAAGGAAAGAAAATTCAAATTCGAACGACTAACCGGAAAAAAACTATTAAAATTAAATGATTGATAATTACAATGATTGCATGCATGTCATGCATGTGTCGACTTTATAAATAAGAACGACATAATTATATGCTAATAGAAATTTGAAGTGTGAAAATGTTAAGAAAACAGGAAATAATGAAGAAGAAATGGAATTTGAAGTGAATTTTTCCTTATTTAAAGAAATGTTTTCATTTTCTATGCAACATGAATCATATATTGCTTTCATTCCGGTCTGTTGACGATGTTTTCATCCTGCAAGACGATAACAGGAAAGACAAAACCGGTACATGGAATGAAAAACAGTAGCAAAGATGAATGCTGCATATTTACCATCCAATTAGACTATCATCGTATTAAAAAGCTTAAGAGAAAGAGAAAATATTTGCTTCACTTTTAATTTCAATTTGTTAGTATTCCGAATTCTATGGACTATAAATGGAAAATTATGTAACAGGTTTCAATTCCGCTCACAAAACTAGTCGATCAGTTATATTCGCTTTTAAAATATGTAAGTCATTTAAAATATTATAGTATAAAATGATGGGAAACCGGCGTTGCCTTACTGCAACTGCGTGCTACTATAATGTTATTACGAACTTAGTGATCAGGAATGACATTCACTTTCTAATGACATTTCTCCGTTTGTGGACACCTTTTAATGTCACCGTTTATATATTTTCATGATAAAATTTAAACTTTGAAATTGGTTTCTCTTACAATTCCTTTACCAATAAAATCAATTAGATTTCAGTTAATCTAAAATTTTTCAGTTACTGAAAATTATAACAGATATTTTTGAACGTGTAAAATTCCAAATAGAAAATATTGAATGGTTTTTACAAGATCTAGAAAAAGTAGGAACTTATTGGCAGAGAACTGATAACAAAAAAATAGATATTTCAACTAATCCAAAAGTTTCTCGACTATTGTGTGTATAAATTCTAAAATGCTGTAATATATATTTCCTTGTTATTACGTAGATGACTTTTACCAAATTTCAGCATTCTTCTGATAAGAACTTTAATAATGCTTTTTAATTATTCAGTACCTAAATGGTGTTGCAGAAATTATCAAAGTATTTCTATTTATTGGAAGTCATGACAGTTAGTTTAAAAATTAAGATTTCAAAATTTTCATCGTCTGATTTCGAAAGATTTGTTTTCTAAACAAAAGAAAATGTTAGGATTAATTATTATTTTATTAGTGATAATGACAGTTAGTGCAATACTTTAAGTCAAATTCAAGCTGCTTTGCATTACAGATCAGATTCTGCAATTATTTTCCTTTTGACAATCTTTTGTTACTGAATTTTTATATCAATCATCTGTCGTCTCTCTTTAATTATATTAAGAATTTTTCACTTAATATCATAAATTTACCATATTAACTGCTGTGAAGAAGAAAAACAATAAAAATGTGTTGAATATTTAAAACTTTATTAAAAATTTGATTAGTAAATCTCACCTTAATTTTCAAACCATGTATTCTCGAGCTGAAAGTATGCATGCATACTTCAATTCTTTGAAGTCATTGTAAAAGATATAAACATAAGCATATTTTATCTTACATTATATTTTACAGATACAATTTTTGTACAAAATTCTTATTTGCAGCAAAAAAAAAATGACAAAAATTTCACCGACAATAGAACAGAATCCAATGAATGTCATCGTTATTAGTGACATTACCTTTGAGAACAAATCGATCGAAAGATCCGGTATATTATCAACTAAATTAATCGATATGGAAGAAAGAAATACCACCCATTCAAAGGTTCATATTTTGTTATAAAACTATGAAATGTGATCATACATAGAGTGACAGCTGAATTAAAAGTTATGTTGTAATTTACAGATGTAATTTTAGAACTAATGTGAATTAAAGAGAAATAGTTTCCCTTTGGAAGTTCTGTTTGTACGACAAACACATATACTTACATTCCTTTCAAAAAGCATAAATACTCCTGTATCTGGCTATTTTCCCCTTAAACAAGAAATGAGAATATTCGACATAATAGTTAATTTTAATGAATTATTGGATCTAAGTACAGGAACAATTACCAATTTATTCATAAAATGCTCATGTTTCTTTTTTTTTGCGTCAAAAATTATTAGTGTATTCCAAGTTGTTAATTAGAATTCTCTTCTTAATTGTTTCAGCATTCTAAAATTTTTGGAAAATGAGTTGCTTGAAAGTTCAAAGAATTGACTATGAATGTCATATCACTATCAGTGCCCTTGTTTACTTAATATAAAACCAGAATGTCACGTGATATGCTGTCATTAATGAACTCTATGAGTACACCAGTGATTTGTGTTATCACCAATAATTTGTGATGTCACTATTTTAGCGATACAAAACCAGAATATCACGTGATGTGTTGACATTAATGGATATCTCCAACAAACAACGTTAGAGACTAATTATTGTAAAGATAGTTTAAGGAACAAAATGGTTAGTCTTGAAAAGCAGTGAATGAATTACTGCCATTTTTACACAGTGACAATTATAGCATTAGACAGTTCTTCTCGTCTGCCACTAATGACAGTTTCTTCAGTTGATCTTATCGATAAATTCTTATGCTTCTCATCATGTCATATTAGTTCATAATGAATTTGTTTTGATAACAGCTGTTTGCTTAGCTGGACAGTCTTTCACCTGTTTCCCGCTTTCTCACTCTCTACCGCTTTTGATTCTAAAGATTGAAAGTTGATTTCGAATTCACTAATTTCATCTTAATTTAAGTTCCACTGTCTTCCTGGTAGTACTATTATTTACTAAAGATCATTGCTGAACAGCTCTCTGAGAAGCTTGAAACAAACTTGAACATTCTTTAGATTCACAGCCGCTTATCGCATTTTGTTTTATTGCTAACCTATATTTCACTTTTGATGTTATTATTTTCTCTTCCGATTTAATTAGAAAGACAACTTCCTCTTTCAAATTAGAAATAGCCTTGATTGTAGAGCAACAATGTGGCATTGGTTGTTTACTACTGCTTCGAAAAAAAAGAAGCGCTTATCGATAAAAACTGGAATTTGATGAAATTCAAACCTGAAATAACGCTTAGAAACATTTTCATACCGTTAACAGTTACCAGAAGTAACAACAAAGCCTTATCGAGTTTTCGATGACCTCCGATCGAAGTTCTTTCCAACATTCACCTATAAATGACCCACTTGTCATCCATAATTTCGATCACAGCGTAAGTCTCTTCTTCATGCTTTTTAATTAATCGATACTGTGAACCATTTTAAAACGAATTTTACACAGAAAATACAAAATAATGAATTTAATGGAGTAGTTGCATATAATTATATTACATTCCTCATTCCCGACTCACTGACTCCGATAGTTGGGAATGTTTGTTACTCCCGAGAGAGCGATCGTTGTATAAGTAGGTCAAATATTTGATTATAGAAAATGTTAGTAAAAGCAAAAAAGTAACCATTTTTGAGAAACGTTCCCGGGAAGTTTCATTCATACTACTGTTTGTTTGACTTTATCAGTCCTTTTTTATCTGTTTTTCTCCAAGCAAAGCCTTCAACTTTCAATCTTATCAGCTTCATATTAAACCATTAAATAAATCGAGCTGTAAACTGCCAGTTTTATTTAAACATCAAGCGGTTTCATCTTTAAAAACATTTGAACATGGATTAGTGTTGATGTTACATCCTCTTGAGAAGAATTGATTTAGTTGTAGTGTTGACACTGACGTGAACAATAATTTAATACTTCACTAAACTGATGGATGATCACAACAAATGCAGAATAAATCTTTTAAATTAGAGGCTCTTTTAACTTCACCTCTGTTTGAGATAAGCAAATGATTTTATTAAAAATATCAAATTTGTTGGCTAACAAGTGCGAAACATTTTTCCTTTTTTAATTTCCTATAACTTCTGTAAAACATTTTAATTTGATTTTTGATTTCAACTTTTAAATTCAATCATCGGCTTCTTCCAGAGGTTAGCTTCAGTTCCCATCTTGGTTAATAAATAAATTTTTTGTCTAATATGTATCAATATTTAGCAAAAATATTAGAGCATTGTGGATTTTAAATTTGTGGGGACTGTTCATAATCGGAGGCTGTCTTTCTGTGGCTTTTTTTTTTTTTTTTTATTTTTGATTTTCAACTCAAGTCAAAACACTAAGAAATGGCTTAAGTTTTTTTTTTTTTTTTTTTCAAAATTTTTTATTTGCTTATAGTTTTTTTTTTTTTACACACAACACTGACACAGAAAATTTGATGGAGCAAAAAAATTAGAACTAAAGACGGAAATTGAAGACTAAAGAACTAAAGCTGACAGAATAATATGAATATCATTCTTTTCGAATAAAATGTCAATGGTCAAATTATTCTGATTCGATACCAAGATATTTCTTTTTTCTTAGACGATAAGTTCCATTAATTAAGACTTTCTATCAATCGGCATAGCGCCTGAAATAATCTGAAGCACTTCGGTACCCGACATTCCGGTCTCATTTCATTCACAAGCACTATCTGATGAAAATGATTTAATGCACAGCCATCGAGTTGCAACAGCCGCAAGTATTCCGCAACGGAATTTACATTATGGTGTGGGCGGGTTTGTACGTCGTGGCAGGGGCGTGCATTTTACGTAGACTATTTGCAGTTTTTGAGGGTTTCCATTTGATTTTATGTCCGGCACTTTAGTCATTGCAGGTACGTTTAGACCTTCCGTCTTGATACGGCACGTACATTTCACAAGGGGAAAATTAGACCAGTGTGTAATTGTGCCGGAGACGTTCCCTGCAATTCAATCAGTATGGCAGAAGAAATGCTGTTTGGACATCAAAATGAAGCATTTGAGTATATGGACGAAAGGACGGATGATACTGTAACCACGGAATCAGGCTTCATAACCCCTACCAGAGTTCCTTATACACGATACCGATTGAAACGACATAACTACAAACTTAATACCGAAGGTATCAGCAAATCAGGGGATGAAGAAGTTGATAAGATGAAGAAATTGGACGAGGTAATAGTGATATTTTTCCCTTTCCAAGAGAGCTGATTTGTGGTAGTAATTCGTGTTGTTACCGTTACTTTTTTCATCCTACTTAGCCATATCTAAATGTAAAATTTCGTGAAATTCATTCCAGTCTTTGCAGTATCTCACAAAAATGTGATTTGTTACTAAACTTGGAGAGGCTAAATGAAATATATGAAAGTTAAAGTCCATTGGATAGTTGCTATTTTTGCGCTGTCATATTCTTTTATTTTTGGTGGTGGTGAGAACTCACTTCTGTTTATGTTGCAGGACTAATGCAGTGCTCACATGGAAATCATATGTTCATCATTCAAGTCTTTACATATTATTTTATAAGAGGAACACATTTTGAGCTAAACATGAATTTATCGAAATAATGTTATTATACAATGGTTTTTTCCTTGCAGTAAATGAATGATTGTAAAAATTGAAATGATTTCATTTTCAGAGTCCATCGGAAGATTTACCGTCGTCATGGTTGGGTCGTGTCAGAAAATCATTTCAAGGAGATTTCGGATCATTATGCTTGTTAACATTTCTCTATTTACTGCAAGGCATCCCTTTAGGTTTGATTGCGGCCATTCCACTTGTACTGTCCAGTAAACATGTATCATATGGTCAGCAAGCGGTCTTCTCATTTGCACATTGGCCTTTTAGGTATATTATACACTCTTGCTACGTATTTTTTGGTTTAAATGATAGTTTATATAACATAGAAAAAATATACCTTTCTGATAGTCGTCATGGAATATATTTTAACATTCTGAATAAATTTCGAAGTTATAAGCAGGATCATTGTGGAGTTTTCATTTTTCTTGTTAAACATATGCAGTGACTGAATTTTTTTAAGAATGTTTATTTTTTTCCAGCGTGAAGTTGCTTTGGGCACCAATTGTGGATTCGGTTTACTGGAAACGTATAGGTCGTCGGAAATCGTGGATGGTTCCATGTCAGTATCTTATTGGCATTTTTATGCTTTCATTGTCCTACAGAGTTTCCGAAATTATGGGTGATAATGGTGCAGGTAAGCTTTTTTGTTATACTTTTAAAGTGGAAATTGTACAAGAAGAGCAATTAGAGAAGTTATATGTTTGGATCTACTTATTTAGCTCTTTATAACTAAGCATATACAGTTATATTCTGCAGTATTCTTATTTCAGATTCAAAGCCGCCAAATGTGTTCTTATTAATGTTTTTGTTTTTGCCATTGAATTTCCTTGCCGCTACACAGGATATAGCCGTGGATGGTTGGGCGCTTACCATGCTTTCTAAGTGATTACTTGCAGTTTTGTAGTATACTAGTCTTATAGTTCTAATCTAATAGTAAGGTTAGGAACATATATTTTTATCCTATTCAAGATAGTATGTCCTTTTATCTTCGACAAATTAGATTATACTTTACTATATCATAATGCAAGAGTTTTAAATATTATGATTATACGTAATACTTTGTTACCATATTTTCATGTATGATTTCGTTTGTTTACACTAACATTACCATTTTAGTTGTAATGCATTGAATAACCGGACAAATCTTTTCTGAGTTTATTTGGATTTAACAGATAATATTGATGTTATAGAGAGAATGTTGGGCATGCATCGACTTGCAATGCAGCAGGTCAAACAGCTGGCTTTTTCTTGGGAAATGTCATGTTTTTAACGCTGGACTCACCCGATTTTGCCAATCGTTTCTTCCGTAATAAGCCGGAGCCGTTCGGCTTAATAAACCTATCCGGTTAGCTCTTTCCTGTTTTTTTTTTCTTGTTTTCATGTATGTTGCATATATTTTTCATCTATGTTTTTAGTTGTAAACGTAGTATGTCAGTTTTGAAATGAAAATTTAGTTAGGACACTGCTTTCTCTATCTCCGTATGTAGTAACGAGGATTAGATATTTGAGTTAGACTGCAATTTTGAATATTACGACAAATAAATTTTGAAATTACTTAACTATGTAGCAATTTTTTCTAATATTCCAGGAAAAACTTCATAACAAATTTTTTAGAAAACTCACTTTCTTGCAGTTAATTTAATTGAATGTAAAGAATTTTTTTACGAACAAAAAATATGTAGAAAGAAAAGAAGTTGGAAATATAACATCGTTTACTGTTTTGTATGAGAGAAAATCTAATCAGTACTTTTGTTACTCATATTACTATTCCGATGAGAATATTTTCAAACTCTCAGTCTTTGAAATTCTGGATTGGTTATTTATATAATGCACCGCCTTTAAAGATTCTTAATTTTTCTGAAATGCAACAAAACATAGATTTTTAGTGCAGCTAGTAACTAAAATTTTTCATTCAGTATGTAATTAGGATGAACATGAAACAGTGGCTTCATGTGTTTAGTTTTAGTGCAGTTTACTTTCTCCACTTAATGAATCCAAATATATTGATTTACTAGCCGAAGGGATTTTTTATATAGAATAAAATATTTTGAATTATTGACATAGTTTGTAGTAATCTCTATCAGTACTCTACTTGTTTATTTTTTCTTCAGTAAGTTGTCTACTTCAGTAAGAGTACAAGAATGCTTGAAGCGAAATAGAAGTAGACAACAGAGCTATTTTCCACTCCATTTCAGAATGCAGCAATTTGCAATAGTTCTTTTTAATAAAGGGACGGCGATAAAAAGAATGTTGTCTTTGATTAATGAAAAGAGGAGGATGATCGATATTGGCATATTAAAATTTGAACTGGAAGAGAACATTTATAAAAACAGCAAATAACGTAAATCATAAGGAATCATAGTTTGTAATAGGAAATCTTGATGAAAAGATGTATTTTATACCAGTTATTACCAGATAAACCCCGACTAGCTCGTTCGTCCTATCCAATAGAATGTGTCGAAAATCCTCAACTCGCAGCTGTAAGTAATTTGGGATAAATAAATAATGCATAAAAGCAATTTAACCAGCGTCAAAATGATAGAGGCCTCGGGGAAATCATTTATGTTGGAGTTTTGAACTATTGGATTTTTTCAGTTCCACCAGGAATTTATCCCTTAAAAGTAAGCCACTTCAGTCAGATTTCGAATAAGCAATAAAATTTCTCTTTTACTCCTAACAATTTGGAACTAATAAAGATTAGTTGAGGAAGAATGAAAAGGCGTCAAAACTTTTATTATATCATTTTTAGAAAGATTGTTTGAATGCCGCGGGTTTGTAACACGAGGCCTGGATTAATTATTCTGAATTTTCTTAGCCATTCTTAAAAATTTCGAGAGCATGCGTTTGAATAGCGCTTATTTCGGCAAAAATATTACATTATGAATTCTATAACATAATCCAAATTGAAACCGTCTGGCCACATCTTTTTAGGAGATTTACTGTCCATTGATGACTAGTTTAAGTAATTCCAAATGTATGAGTTGACATCCTTAAGTGTTTTTTTTAAATTATAGAGCTGCAAAAACGACTACTTTGAACTATACATTTTTACTCCTATGTATATTGTACAATTTATTAAAACAGAAAATGCTATAATATTGTTTCATCGTACATACCTTGTGTTAGCATATTGATCGTAAACAGCACTCATACCATAGCCGCCTCGATCACCAATAATAACAGCTGACCACCAGTTGCCAAAACGAATTTCAGCTTGCTCCTTCATATACCTTGCTTGATAGCTGTATTGGTGAGGAAAGAGACCAATTGTTTCTAATACAAGCTCGCGGAGCTTCTCCGATTTGCAGTTGTCCATTGTAATATGTGCTCCTTCAAATTTCTTATTCCTTTTTTAATGCCATTGGAAAAAAGTGATGAGCATATTTATAGTCAAAAGTAAACACTCAATGAGAAAAAACGTGAAGAGATATCAGTTTTGCATAAAGTGTTATAAGTCTTAAAAAATTAGTAGAAAGGAGAAGAATATACAAGCTTCCATGCTTCCATGTCTTCCATGTCTAAGTGAAGGATATTTGGATGGCCATGATTCGGACTAATGTTTTTGCTTTTTGGTGGATTAAAATTATGGATTAAAATAAGTCCACTAGTAATAATAATGAGTGGAAAATTTATGGAAAGGTGAAAGTGGAAGCGAAGTACACTTGAGTTCAATTTACAAATTTAGAAGGATTAGGATGAAAAGTTGGACATTATAGGACTCTATTTTCCTGGGAAGTTATACTGATGAGTAATAATTGCTAATCTACAACAATGATAGGAAGAAAGAATATATCAGACTGTTCATTTAATATAAAGTAGTGAGACGGGTGATATATTTTAAATTATGAAGAAGGGGTAGATATTTGAAGAAAAAAGCAAACTGACCGACGGTGTTTCCTTGGATGATAACAGTTGTGATAGCAACACATAACAGAAGTACGAGTAGAGAAGGGAGGTGTCGTATATCGCTGTAAAGGTGCATTGTTGTCCGCTTTCTTCGTTAAGTTTATAGCAATTGAGCCGACCACTTCTTGGGATCCCCGGGTTGTGTTACTGTTGGTGGCACACCGTAACTGTTCTCAGAAGATGGGTGACAACAATTATGACCCTAACGGAAATCTATGTTGATAGAGCTCAAACAGGTGAAGCTTAAGCTTTACAAGTTGCTTTTCTAATTCCTTATGCTGAATTAGATAGATTTGCGCATCCACTTCCTCAATCTGAGTTTAGGCTGTGAGTAATGATAGGATGGAATTCAATTTGTCGTTTAGAGCAGATTGCTCCTCAATTCTTAGGACCTGTTGCTTATTCTCGAATGCTGCTTTCATGTCTTTGTCACTTCCCTATTACTCACCCACTTTTCCTTGCCACTGCTGCTGTTGCTACTTTACTGTTCGCATTTTGTTCTATGTTACGCATCCGTTTGGTTCTATCATGAATCTCTGCTTCTAAATAAATTGAATTTTTTTCTCCTTTTTATTTTGGTCACCCAGTCTATTTCGTGAATGACTCTTAGCTTAATTCGTTCAAGCTTCTGAAAATATATGCTCTAAAAGTGTAACGGAACTTGTGGTATTGATATCAATGTTCGATTTCAGCTAGTGCAAAAATTTGAAAAGAAATAAAAGGTAACGTCCTCGTTTTCTCCGTCATATCTAAAATAACGCATTATCTAGGATAGCTATGTTCATAAGGATTTTTAATATTTCCGAAAACAGCTGTAAAATTCCTGACTTGTTCACGTTTTCATATCATTAATTAATGTGTAGGCGATCAGTAGTATTAGATTTATTTTGGTTTCGTTTATGGCTTTAAAAAATTTGAGATTTTTTCTTACTGATTAGATGGATAAGTATTTTACACGGATTCCACTTTTTTAGTGGTGGCTTCTTTGCAGTTTATGAACAATAATGTAAACTGTATTGCACAATATGAATTTACCTGATTTTCTTTCCAAACTACATTATTCTTATTCAAAGGAAATTATGGTATAATGACAGCTGCATAACCTTTCGATTGTTGGTGGTATAGATTTTATACTACAGCTCAAAATGCACAGTGAAGAAAGGAAATAAATTTAAAATTATGTAGTCCTACTAGACGGGCGAAATGCAGTGAAAAACCAAAACAAAGTTGGAGTATAGGATTAGAATTAGTTTTCAATTGCTTCAGTAGTTGTCTCGCTGTTGTTCTATTTTCTCCTCCTGAGTGTATCTTGCCTTCATTATACTTTTCCTACTCTTAATGTTTTACCTGTTTATCACTCTGCAATTGTTGATGACGCATTGTGCATTTTGTTCGCAGACACTGTTGTTTGCAATATCTTTAGACAAACATTTTATTTAGCATAAAATTTCACTGAAATTTCAGAATTCATTTCTACTGTTCTGCAGGTTTCATATTTTTCTGGGGATGGGTATTTCTGATCACAACAACGCTGGTACTCATTTTCAAAAAAGAAGTTGATCATTCCGTCATAGATAAGTCAGTTCTTCTATTTTGTTTATATACGTAAGATTTTTAGACATTTTTAGACAGAACATACATAAAATTCATTGTTTATATCTATGAAGGGGAGCAATTAAAGCTAATCCTAGCCCGAAAAGGGATGAAATTATGCCGGGATGAGATATAAATTTGTAAAGTAAGAGTTACACTGATCAAATTTTTATACTTCTAGAACTGCTGGAACATAACTGTTGTTCAAGTAAGTGCAAATGCTACTGTTTTTACTTATTGAGAAAAAGTTTAGAGCAACTGCTGATTGATTTATTATTTTAGAGATGATGCTGATAACAAGAATGAGGTGTTAGAGTTAGGAATTTTTCAAACCTATGCCGTTTTATGGAAAATCTTGCGGTTGAAGCCAGTTATGTGGATGGTCATCATCTTACTAACCGGAAAGGTAAAAAATACTGTGGATTACAGAACAAGACAGTAAATACAGCTACATAAAAAACTTGAATAGTGCATTTAATTTCTTGACTAAATCTTTTTTAATATAAGGGATTATGCATTATATATTTTTTTCTATGAAAATGAAGAGATAATATCATCACTTTATCTCTAGCGAGTACAGCTAATAGTGGTAGCTGATTTAAGTCAATGCTATAGTTTAAACTTTGGTGCTAGCTAGGGCAATGATATTATGATGAAATCTATGGCGAAGAATCTCAAGATATTTTAAATTAGGTGTTTGTTTTGCAGTTCGCATTTGCGGCAACTGATGGGATCACAGGTTTAAAATTAATTAGTATGGGTATGCCGAAGGATAAGCTCTCCAGTATTGCTCTGTTTTTGGTACCTTTGCAGGTTAGTTCCACGCTTCGATAATTAAGTATTTGTAAAAATGTGTTGCACTGTTTTCTTTCTATGCCATGTTTCAGGTATTGCTACCGTGGGTAGTTGGCAAATATATAGCCGGTCCGCGACCTCTGAATATTTTCCTCCTTGCTTATCCCTATAGGTTTGTTGGGAGTTTTGTTTAATTTAATGTGAATGACGTAATACTAACTCTTCTTTTTGTATATTACTTCTAGTGTTGGCTAAATAGTTCACTTCCATTATATATTTTTTATATATACATGTCGTTTAATCTCATGAAGTTTTTTACAACTAAATGTTTACCGCCAAAGCTTTCAGGATATTCTTGAGTGGGGTATTTGCAACAATGATTTGGTGCACACCTCCATTGTCTTCTAGAGACTTCCCAGCGTTGCTCTATGTTGTTTGGATCGTAGCATACTGTTTCCATCAAGTTTGTTTATCCATGCTTTTCTGAAAAACTTAACGGTATTCATAATGAAAATTTATGTATTTTACAACATGATTTAAGTAAATCGCTCCGGTAGAAATGAAACAGAAAGGACTTCTTTTCTTTTACAAGAATTACTTTAAAATGTCTTGCGATTTTCAGGTGGCATCCTATAGCATGTTTGTGTCACTTATGGCATTCTTTGCCCAGGTATCAGATCCAGCAATCGGAGGTACATATATGACTTTGCTCAACACATTAAGTAATTTAGGCGGTAACTGGCCTGTCACACTTATTCTTTCGCTTACAGACCATTTCACTTTTAAGAATTGTGTTGTTAAAGGGACCAAAACGTAAGTTTCAGTTTTTTTTTTTTTTATTACAGATTTTATGTGTGTAGGTCCCTTTAAATTTTACTAAAACATATTAGAATCCTTTGAATTCATAAAATTCTTCGAATGATTTGCAAATAATAGGAAATACTACTCTGAATGTGCCTTTCATTTCCATGTATAATTTGACCGATTATTAGTACCTAAAATAATTTAATACTTCATCCATCATACGCGGTAACTAAGAGCTATGAGAAATAATTGCACAGCTGACGAAATGCCTTTCGTCCACTTTAGCTTATTTATTTTGTATAAGTTTTTTTTTTCGTTTCATTTCTCTTCGAAATTTCAAGTTGCTTAATAATCTTCTATAGCATTCTTGGTTCATGCAATACTGAAGTGTCAATGAATCAATGCACAACAGAAGGAAATGTTTGCGAACTGGCTGTGGATGGCTATTATATCGCTGTTGCATTGTGTTCTGTTGTTGGAATTATTTGGTATAGATTGTCTTTTAGGAAAATTAGGTATTTTCAAGAAATACCACGCAAAGATTGGAGAATCGTAAAACGATAGACTATGGAATCTGCATATTTTTGGGATTTATAAAATCTTACATTTACTTTCAATCTGCAAATAATAAGGTGTATTTTAGGTTATAAATTTGTTTTGCAAGCTTTTGTCAAGCTACACCACAGTTTTTTATTCTGCTATCACTTTTAAACAAATCAGGAAAAAAGATTTCTCGTCTTATTTTAGCTCTTTTATTGCATTATGGATTTAAATTTTTACATTATTTCCACATTCTATTTCTAATTTCTGTACTGTTTGTACTGATATTCGTGAGAATTACTATAACCGATCATCAGTATATCTTTCTTTTGAGACCTTTATCTTGCTTTTTCTTTCGTCTTCAAACTGCTATTGTAATTGACATTGCTTTTAGTGGGTCAACTTCTAAGATATCTGGTGTGATCGACTAATTTATGTTTAACAAAAACTGCGTGACACCAGCTGCCAGTTTGAACTGATAAAGCAGTGGCTCGCAGTATAACTGTGTAATTCCAATTTAAGGTGTAACTAAATGCTTATCTGATTTCATCTCGTCAATTCCTGTGCTCATGCTGTTTTGTTGTAAACCAAAATTTATATTTATGCTGCGGTTTCTGATAAACAGGTGTTCGTTTTCTTTTTAAATTATATTGTCTATATTCCCAGTCTGTCTGGCACATTTTTGGTGTAATCAGGGTTGTGATAGTGGTCTAACTTGTTTCATTATTTGTTATTGTCACCTAATAATTATTTATTTTTGTGGAAGAATAGACGAGATCTGCATTTGTTTTTTCTCGTCTGTTCAGGAAACGTTTTATGCCCCGTCACTTTTGAATATATGAGCTACTTGCATGGCCGTTTGCTAATATTTTTATTTTTGATGGTACTCATATTCATGCAGCTTATTAAAATATCGCAAAAGTGACTGATCGAAAGCTGTCTGATACGGTTAAGTGTATATATATATATATATATATATATATATATGCTCGACTCCTACTCTGATTTCATTCGTTTTATAAAGCAGTAAAATTGTGTATCACACGCTGAACAGAAAACGTTTGATGAATATTATGTAGTGCACTTCGTTTAGTAAAAGTGTTGGTGTGCGGTTGGTGGTGTGAAGGTGATTGTTCCATTACATTAAAAATCGGAAAGAGACTCTGAAATCTAAAATTACTGCTTAGAGTACTTAGGGCACATGCTTCTCTGATTGTTCTGAATAGTCTGGAGAATCGTTTGGTACATTTATGTACATCTGTTCTATCTAAACTATTTACATATATATATATAGATTAGTTAGTTGATTGATTGACCTAGATATACAAATCTTTTAGGAACGAACTATCAGAAATTCTGAGAACCTGCGTAACTGAAATGTGCTTTACGTGTCATTGAAGTGAAAAGAGCAGGGTTCCTCCTGCTACTTCATCTAAAATACTGACAGGTTTCCATTAATAGTGCATTTTGCTGCAAGAAGTTATTTATAGTGACCTCATCGAGCAAAAAAGAAATGGATAAAACCTACTATGATCGATGGGCTGATAACGACTACGAGCAGGTAAAAGAACTCCGAAAGAATCAAATATCCTGGAAATCGATACTTTCAATTTTTGGATGATGAAATATTATATTACAAATCTTAAGAGTTTCTGCAATGATAGAACTTCAGTACAACGTTCGCAGAATGGGACAGAGCCGTTGTCCTAATTACACCACCAATCTACAGTATTACAACTAATAAATGATACTTTATTGTAAAATATGCTTCAGTTAACAGAGTCTTGTCGTCTTGGGCCGACTGATGGATCTAAAAGCAGTTTCAGTGCATCCCAATCCTTCGAAGTTTGGTTTTAATTGAGAAAAACCTGACTGTTGAAACTTACATAAATTTAAAATCCAGACCTATTTCATTCTTCTCTAAAGGAATTGCCACTATTTCTGTCCGATAAAGATAAGTAAGTGTACCCTGGCTGTTTAGAACGCTGAATTTCAAGAATCCTCTGAAGTTGAGCTTGAAATGAACCGATACTATGGTTTAACTGAAGTTGATTGCAGTTTAAAAGATGTAAGTTGTCACTTTTAGGATTGTCATAAAATTTCATGAATTCAGCATAGAAATTGCACATAAATAATACGGAAATAGAGAAAGATAACATAAAATACAATGTCTCTTACTTCAATGATATTCTACTCAAATATGCTTAAACAATACAAATATTAGATCTATCATGTCGATTTGATGAGACATTCCGGAGGAACATCTTCCAAAAAATAATAGAACTCAAAAGTTATTCTTGGAAAATTCCAGGCCATAATGCGGATGATTTATGCGCAAAAAGTGCTTAATAAAGTAACGCTAACAAATAAGAGTGCCGAATTCTGCCGACTGCTAGAAGATTTCATGCATAACATTGGAGGAATGCAAATGAAGCTAAAAGCTTTAGTAAATTAAAAAAAGAACTTCCCTTCTTAAAAGTTGAAAGGGTTTCTCAGTGCTAGCAGCGGGTTTCATCCACGTTCTTTGTGAATGTTGCATATTGAAAGGCTAAAAAAACCAAACCACCGAAATCTAATCGCCACAGCTCATTATTATAAATTTATTAAATAAAGCTAAACCATTCGCTACTTGAGGAGCTTCTGTGTTGTTATGAATCATCTTGACTTTTTTGTGTGAAAACATGCTGCTTCAATATTTATGAGTACTTATTTATCAAGGAAGTACTAACTGAAGTTTTTCTAGCTTTCACCATTTGCAAATATGGAACAATTTTGGACAGATCCCCTTCCCATGACCAATACCGATCACAGCACAGGTATTTTGAGCTCTATATCCTGCACGCACACAATTGGCCTTAATTTAAGACGTTGTCCAATGGATACATTCAGTCTCAAGAATGAAAAAAAAAAAAAAAAGATTTTCAGAGATTTCGAAATCTAATATTCCTCAATTGTTTTAGCAGGCACTACAACATCACCATTTGGTAATACGCCGATCAACGAACAAACATGAGCACTTCTGGTGTATCTCCTTCGCTTTTTTTGTCCAAATTAATTACTCTTACCTTCTTTGATGAGAGTTTTAAAAAAAACTACATGAGAAATTTTACTGAACGCTAACAAAATAAACAACAGATCGATTCACTTGCAACAATTCCTTAAACATTTTTCTCCTCGGAAATGGTTTCTTCGGTATGTTTACCCTTCAACAGGCCTGTTATACGTGCTCGCCCGGCAGCTTTTCTTTCAATCATCGCTCGTCGATCCTTATCCATCTTTAGTTTTGTCAGCGCTACCTTAAAAATTATGCTAAATCAACTAATCAATTAAATCAACTAAACCGAACAAAAACCACTAGAATGTTGAAAAATGCACATGATGCAATCATGATGCTAAACTCACTGCCTGACTATGCTACATGGAACTGAAACATACGGTCTTCACCAACCAGCAAGATGTATTCCTACGCATTTTAAAATTACACCATACAATGAAAATGACTTTGCTCACTTCAAAATTGCAAAGTCCATAGCAGCAAGCGATAAGTCAAGAACATTAAATTATGACAGTAGGTTACTTAGACGTGCATGAAATTAATCCCTCACTATCAATTATGTAACTGGAATGCAGCACCAATAACAATGTTGCAGTTCAAAGCATTATAAAAACGGTGAACGGTGAAATTGATAGAAAAAGGAAAAACCTTGGATGGATGGATTCCAATATGTACTGTAGAACCATTTGCTTTTTCACGAGTAATTTTATCAATGTGGATAACGAATTTTTTCCGGTAAACACGCATTACACGCCCAGCGTTTCCTTTATAATGTCCTCGAGTAACGGTGACTTCGTCATCTATTCTATAACAGAAATTCTTTCATCGAATTCACCGCAAATTTTGCATGTTATGAAATACAAAAACAATACACAAAAATTTTAAAGTTACATATTTCCTACCAGGATGTTAATAATGCAGCTGACACAATATAAATGATTTGTCTCTACTTTCCTTTTATTCTATTGATTTGGTTGATCAAACTTGGACTCAAACTAAACATGTAATTTACCTGATCGGTATTGAACGGATCCCATGCTTGTTACGTAAATCTTTGGTTAAAGGAGCACTCATCAATTTCCTCCTAATATGTGAAGGAGCATTGAAGTGTGCCTTACGAGCTTTCCTAGCTGAAGACGACACGAACTGATTTTGCTTCATTTTAATTTGAAGACCTGAAAAGCGTCGCATGCACAACAACAGGTAGTATAAATGGAAGTAAAGCGCAAGAAACTCCGCAAAATTCAACCACTCTAATTCATGCGAGAATGAATGACCTTCAAGATGAAGTACACTTTAGCTGAGTACCTCACATCAAATAACCAAACCCCGCACACCAACAAACCCCTACCCCTGATCTACCAAACAGCCCAATAGGAATCAATCTCCATCATACCTCTGTGATACTCACCTTATGCAAAATGACGGTAGCGAAATGAAAACTGCGTCTCAACCAGTTGAATTATGTGAAGTTCCTTAACATTTGAAACAAATCAGTGATACAGAGATAAATATGTAAATTGTAAAAGTTCTAATATTTGATCTGGAGACAAAAAATGACTGATCAGTCAATCAAGCGATGAACTGGAATGAATGCATCCATGGGCAGTCTGTCATTACTCGAAAATAAAATGAAGAAATTTTAGACTTCGTTAAGTATCTTTTCTTCTTTTTATTCGTTACTTTCAGACTTAATTAGAACGATATAATAACCATCCCATCTTTCTTTTTCCCCTCCATCTTTATTGCCATTTGAACATTTGGCTTTTGCGTTGCAACATTCGCTATTATTTTGACATTTTAGCATAGAAATTTGAATATTGGCGCTAATTTTGTGTTCGAGTGGAAAGGTTACTTTCTAATAGCTCACGTTAGATTTACGAGGTGGACACGTAGTTTACGTTAGATTTATAAAAAGCAAAGTTTTCGCAATGTTTGCTATGCAAATTTGTGTTGTGTGGTGAACAAATTTCCTTATTGATTAATTACCCACTAAGCATTATAAATGGTCGTAATAATGAGTGAATTCTGGTAATTCGCATTGCATGAAATTTTTGTATTATTATCATTAACTTTTTTTCACCCTTGATAGCTTAAACCTTTTAGTAAATGAATAGTTGTTCGTCCACAAGACTGGCAGGTACTATTGATTGTGTTTAGTCTGTTGAATTCACAGTAAAATTTAGCATGGAATAGTGTTGTTACTACACATCACTATCAAGTTCGGATAAAAATGAGGGTTAACGTGTTCATGCATCTTTTAAAATTACGTAAATTAGTAGTGACTAAGGGGCTGTAAGGATATAGTAGAAGTTATTCGTTTTGCAGAAGTTGTCTGTTCGAAGAATGGAAAGAGGGGACAAGGATCGAAGGTCATCGGTATGTTTTTGACATAAATATTAATTGGTAAGTAGTGGTAGTAATTTGATTCCTTTTTCTTTGGAATTGATTTTATGCTTTTGTTTTTTGGTATGCATTCAAATTATAGTCAAATTTTGCTTGTTGTCAAAGTATAATTGAAATGCGAAAACCGAGCACATGAAGGAAGGATTGACTAATCTCACATAGCAAAAAATATATGTTATTTCCAGATACTCAAGCCACATCATCCCCCGAACGTTGAAAATGGTGAGTTGTCAACGACAATAACGGCCACGGTAAAAAGACGTGTCAGCTTTCATACCGTTCGGACTGTTCAGTAAGCCATTTTTATGACATTTTATTAATTTGAAGTATTGTAAAACAACCGTTTTATAACACTTATATTAATGAATCTTGTCGCTTTCTTAATAGGCAAGAAGATAAAGAAGTGTTTCTATTATCTTAGTTTACTTTCACCTTCATTGTTTCAATCTAAAAAAAATTCTGGACTGAAGAAATGTTAGACCAAAACAAATCTACTTTAACAATCTACTTTCTCTTAACACTTTGCCGGTGCGTTATAAGATTGGAGCTATTTAAAAAAATATTAGTGAGTCAGCTTACTTTCAGTGAATAATTAGTTTGTATGAGTGATAACAATTTTTAGAGAATTTGACGTGGAACACAGTCAGATTGTACATTCTCCTCATAACGAACCTATGAAGTGTAAGTTTAAAGCTTTCCTTCTGGAACTTTCAAAAGTTTCTGTGGATATTATATACTTTGACTTCTAATCTTTCACTAATTATCCTTTGGTACTTCAATCTGCATTGTTTTAACATAGTGGTTTGCTATATTTCGTACGGTTACAGTCTGAGAAAGTTGAAGTCAGCTTTTTTTCATTTAAGATGCCAGTTTCTTTCACTTTGGTAGTGCTTTAATTGTGCTTTTCTTCTAAATGGATGTAATAATCTTCATTGTCTCATAAAATACACTTGAATTAACCACTGATTGCAGTGTACGATACGACAAGTTCGGATGGTTTAACTTCGGAGTAAGTCAAGCTGTTTGTTCATGGGTTGCCTCTTCAGTAACTTTTTAAAATGTCAATCTTTTTTGAAAATTGTTCCTTCCAAAATAAAAATGCTGCTCAGTATGTTTTATAAACGCTTCAGGCAAATGTCTGCTTCTGAATCAAATGACGGATATACAGCAGAAATGAATATAAACAGTAAGATTTTGACTAAATTTTCTGCAATCAACCCTCGATCTCCTGATTTATTTAACGTCCTAGCAATATGCTATTCTTATTAATTCTTGCTTAATTTTTGGGGTGTTGTTTGAATTGCAGAACTTAGCCACACAGTAGAGAATTTCATCCCCATTACTACATCTACACCACTTCTTCGCTTAGGAGGTCTGGATGATTTAAGCGATAATTCGACTCGTGGAGATGGAGATATTTGCGATGGTATGATTTCTAAGATTTCATTCCTGCATGCTTAACTTAGTTTCGTAATAAGCTACCTGCAATACAGTTGTAAAGTACATTTTTATAAACACTAAATTTTTATTATTTTTTTGTTACAGATGCTGGATACTGTCACTCAACAGAGTCTCATAACGGCACACGAAAAGAAGAAACAACTATTGCAGTGAACCACATTTCGAAAGTATATTTTTTGGTTATTTGTGTAGTTGTTTACATCGAATAAACATAAAATATGATTGAAAAGCAGTCACTGTTAGTGACTGTTTAGAACAATACGTCATAATATAATTCGCCGTGAGGAGTAAGCTCTTTAATCCCACCAAGGTCTCCAAAATAGAACAGTCTCGAGTAATCGATTGATCAACTATCAGGGATTAAGCTAATAAAAAAATAACGTTTCAAAAGAGGCTATTCTGTAACGTGTCTGATATAGCAAGAAATGAAGCAGAAAAAGACGATAAAGAAAGAGAAAAAAAAATAGGTCAAAACAAAAGTAATTTTTACTCTTCGGCCATATGCCCTATCGACAATTAAACGTCATCTTTTGAAGTTTTTCCCAATTTTTAGTGTTAATGTTCAGGAAATGATTCAGAATCAGAAACTGGATGTTTTGGAAGTAGAATCGATGGATATGAGTGATTCAAGTAATTCTCCAATAACGTCTGATGCTACCAGAAAACTCTTCAGACCATCAACCATCCACGGACATTTTGTAAAAATTTTCTATCTCGTTTAGTTTACCTTTTTGATTTTCGTGACATGCTACGAATGCTACTCCTTTCAGTGATTTGTCAAAAACGCTTTGATTTTGATTAATAGTAGTTAGTAGTTTAGTAGAAAATAGTAGTTAGTTTTTAGATGACAAGTCCAAATCTACAATCAGATATGAACGATGAAACCTTTGCATCAAATGCAACACGATTGATTTTCAAAGCTGACGGAAACAGTAAACTTGGAAGTGAAGCTACAAATAAGGAATTGAAAATAGATGTTGAAAAAATATCTGTGATCTCTCCATATGCAGGCACTGCTGACATGGTAAGGAAGCTAATTATTAATGAAATTTTTTGTTAAAGTAATTTAAATGGACGATAGGTACAAGATTAGGGTCCACTGCTTTTGGAAATATACAAGTTAAAATCTTCAGGATATTTCTTCTGATGATGGTCAGATATTCGAGGTACCAATGGATGCTTCTTTCAAACAACAATCGGTTACATCTAACATCGCCGATGAACCAACAAATGTTTTATTCGGAACTAATGGTGATATATATTGGATTTTGTTTGAAAAAGGCATTAGTATATCTTGCATTCAAATTTGTGCAAATGTTATTAACATCATTAATTTGATATGCGTTAAATCATAATTTTATAGTTAACTATCGACGATCCAGAATGGATTGGATTAACTAAATAATTTGAAAACTACGAGTAGAAGAGAGTTTTTTTTTATCCTATGTAATAGTTGTGACTGATTGATTTGCTTTGATCTATCTTATGATCCTATTACTTCAGTAAAGTTTAAATTCTTCTGAAGCAACTCATATTCCTTATCTACTGAAATTTTTTTTTTTTTAGTGGAAAAAGATACAGAAGTATCAAATCATAAAGAGGATTCAAAAAACATTGCTATAATTGATGACATTCATATTTCAGACAATGCTTCTTCAAATATGGTAATTTCAATTAATGTTTTCTCCAATTTTCTTTATTTTTCTAATTTCTTCAAATTTTCTTTAACTTTTTAAATATGCTTTTATGACTGGCAAAGGGACTGTACTTTATATGCTCATTTGGAAATTTTACAGTATATGTCGTGAACAGAGATCTTTTTAGGAATCAGTAGCTCATCAAGGCAGTGTTGCATGTGATCTAACGATGAAGTCTATTAATAGTACTGAGAAAATTACAAATTTTGCAGATGATATTACTTTTGAACTTTCTTCACAACTTGATCGCCAGCACATAGTTAGTTCATAAAAACTTGTTGAAAAATAGTGTCTTTGAGGAAAGGCTATAGAAAGTTAGGAGTGGTAAAAAGTTTAAATTTGATATAGCTGTGTATATCAGTTTGATTACGACTTTCGAATATTTGAATTATAGAACCTTCCGTATACGAAACTGCGTTTACTTCAGTATTAACAATAATTATTTACGTGTATGTTTTTAGTCCAATGAATTTCTTTCATTGGTTCGTAAGACATCACTTGATTCACCTGTTGCTCTGCCAAGGAAGAAAATTCGTTTATTTAGTCCAAAAATTATCCTTCCGCCGAAAACAAACACGTTACTAGTTGGGTCACCAAGAGTTTCTACTGTGAAGGCTGCTTCGATCCTTATCGTTTGTTTAAATTTTTTTTTTCTTTTGATTCAAAAGTCAATTGCAAATTGTAACAAAATTGAAAAACTATTTTTTAAACATTTATATAAATGTCATTGCAATTATTTTAAGGATAAAGCGGATCCAGCAAATACTCCTGGAAATACAACGAACATTGATAAGTCTACTGACAAGGTTATTACAAGTGATTATTAATTTATAATTAAGTCCCCAGGCTTAAATCCACTCTTGGAAGTGTATGATTTTATTATTCAAAAGTAGTAATGCAAATGTAGGAAGTAGTTTAAAAAGTAGTAAAGTTCCTAAAATACAGTGCGATTTACTATTTAATTCTTTATTTAAGGTTTTAACTGAAATCAAACATCGATTACGTAATAGCTTAAATCACTCTGGAGTATTCACTTTATCTGAACTTTCTGCTGATGCCACTAATAATGTCGATATGTTGTACGATATCCCCATGCCGGGACCGTTATTTCATTCGAATGAACTCGGAAGCCAAGGTGACTTCTCACGTAAAAAGTTGAATTCTCACTTAGAACGACGAATTTGTTGTAGATAATATGGATTTTACCAATAAAGTCAAAATGAACTTCAAATTTAAAAGACATTTCTATTTGCAAAGTAGTAATATATATTAAGATAAATCAGCGATATATAACGAAGTAAGTCCGACATTGCATATGTCAATACAACTTAGTGAAATTTATTTTCAACAGAATCCTTCAATAACGAACTACACACGGCTCTTGAGCAGTCCTACATTGAATCGTCTTCACTATCTTCGCATCGCTCTGAAATTGTCACAGCAGCTTTGGGGAATGAGTCAAGCTTCCTGACGAATCGTGTTGATACTGTGGGATTCAATATCAATTTTCGAACAATACCGTGTTTACGAATTAAGATAAATGAGCAACCGCAAATTATGGAACTTAAGCAGCTGATAACTACAAATTTACGTAAACGTATTGCTGAAGTTGTCGATAGGTTTAACTTTTTTTGTCCTTTTCAATTTCCATTTCTTTTAGTGCCATTTCCTCAGATTTGTTTTTACATAGGTGCAAGATAAGAATGAAAGGGAAATGAATTAAAATTTATTCAATTTCTGAACCAATGAATGTATTTCAGATGTAAAGGTCTAATTAACGTACAGCTTCCGAATTGTAACAACAAGAAAATCGCTGATTGTATAAGAACGTTAAATCCTAGAAAAGTTTGTCACATTCATTATTATTGTTTAATTTTCAGCTTACAGCAAGTTTTTTGCTACTGAAAGTTTCTTGATGGAAGAATATTTTAGGTGATGTACCTGCTTGATTTCTTTTTTAATTCTTTATGACTTCTTTTTTATTTCCTCTCTATTCATTCTGTCGGTCAAGCGTCATATTAGAATTTATTTTTAAATCTTGGCAAAATTCAGCTATCAAAAAAAGAAGCTAATTGGTTTGATGTGTGTTATCTAATGGCGCAACGTGAGTGGTTCATGTTAAGAGCTAAGTTGGCCATGCTGACGAGTGAGAAGTTAGATGTAAGTTTATTGTTAATTGCTAATTGCTAATTATATTTCTTTTCAGTGTCAAGGGTATTACTCTGTATGTAAACGAATGCTAACAGTGGCATATCACTTTTTTTAATTTTGATGAGACATGTGAATCATATTCTTGAAACTGTTTGAATTGTTTTTCCCTTTAAGCATCAAATTTGCGTTATTGATTCTTCTTTTGGTTTTTGTGTTTTTATATATATCATTTTTTAATGATCAGGCAATAGACTACGCGGTGTCACTAAAACTTGCCGGCTCCCTTACAAAAACCATCATAAGCTATACAGGAATGAAATTAGTAAGAAACCCAAATGACCTACCGCGATAATTTTTTTATATATCTCAAACTTTTTTTTTTATTTATTTGGAAAGGATTATTTTTTCCATTACAGGAATTGCTACTTGAGACGAAAGCTGAGTCAGAGCAGAAAAAACAGTTGACACAGTCTGTGAGGGATTGTGAACAAAGTTGTGACGGTATAAATTATCGTAATAGTAATAGATACATCGTATTTTTCTAAATTGTTCACATTTTGTCATATTTTGAAAGTGAGTTTCGTTCTGATAATATGTTTATTTTTCTGCAGAAGTAATGCGACGTTATACTCATCTGAAATCATTAGATGAAGTTGTGGATAGTGAGTTGCGAAGTGAAATGAAATTTGACGAGTTAAAACATGCAAAGCGTGTTGGGCATCTAGAAATTGCACAGAAGAAATTGGAACTTACGAAGAAGCAAAGTGCGGTAAGTTTAAGATATTATAAGAGTAGGTGAATCAAAGTCAAAATTTTCTGCTTTTCTAAAAGGCGATGAAGAATGAAAAAGTGAAAAATTGAAGCATGAAATATCTTCGGTGCTTTAAAGTAGCTAACTTATATGCTTATCTCTTCTTTTTTTTTCCAATTTTCCTTAACGTTAGAGCTTTTTTCCAGTTTTCTATTTAAATGATATATTCAATGCGACATTCAAATATATTTTGTAAAAATTTGGAATATTTTCTTACTTCTTGTTTCAGCGACTAGAAGTTTTGTTAAAAGAATATGATAAAACTAAATCTGCAATGGAAGCACAGATGGCAAAGAAAGCTGCACAGCGAATGGAATTTTTACGAAAATATGACGAAGATGTGACTGAATATCGAGAATTTTTGTCTGAAAAGGAATAAAGCTGGATTTTATAAGATTCATTCATATTTAATTATTTCACCATGATCTCAGTCAGTTTTTTGTCTTTTTTGTGTTTACTCTTAATTTTTTTTTCTCATCGATTCACCTCTATTATTATACTTAGCACTTTTTTAAAATTTCCTCTATTTTTTGTCGCAAGATGAACTGGAGGAAGCATGTCACTTATTTTCCTTTATAGTATAGGTAGTAGGTGTTTACCTAGTTCCGGAATTCTTGCAGACATGGCTGTATTTGGTTGTATGTGACTGTATGTTCAGGAGCAATCATGAATTTAGAATTGTCGGAAAATGTAGAATGTGCCAAATCAGTGCATTTGAGAGACAGTGAAGCGACTTTTACAATCTTATCAAAAAACCCTGTGGTTAGATTAATTTCATCATTATCGCTGAAGCATAACCGATGAAATGTTGTGTGAATCAAAGTTATTTCCAGAAAGTTATTGTTTCAAGTGCAGAGAAGTAGTTCATTTTTGTGTACCATGCATCAGTTACTTTTTTATCAAAATTTTGATCTAATTTTCTTACAAAATTTCTTTCTTTGGAAATTTTTATCAAACTGTAAACCATATGGGAATAAAATACATAGTTGTAGCATGATAAATTTAACATAAAATATTTGTGGAATCTCCACCGGAAAATAAGTCGGATAATTTAGGATAATTGAGAAGGGAAAAAGGGAAATTACCTCGAATCTCCACCGGAAAACAAGTCGGATAATTTAGGATAATTGAGATAATTTAGGATAATTGAGAGAGAGAGAATTGAGAAGGGAAAAAGGGAAATTACCTCGACTGGAATATACCTATTAGGTGATTTAAGTGATCGTTACACATAGCATCTTCGTATAACACTACACATTAACTGACATGTTAGTATTATAACAAAGATCATTGTAGCAAGTGTGCTCTTCCGGACACAGGCCGTTGATGCACGGGCCGACATTTCTTCCTAAAAAATTGCACCGAAATTTCGACTATTAGTGCTGATTAAAAAATAAACCAACACTTCATGCAGTGAATCTTCCCTTTCTGCAATGATTTGTGATTACTTTCTACTGGCTTATTCGTTCTGACTTCTTTCATATTGAAAGATATTTTGTAATAGTCTTTACCCACAAATCGAAGAAATTCTATTTATTGCGAGATGATAAACTTATCTGCGAAATGGTTGAGTCTTTTGTCTATGCTCGTTGATTAATTATAAGGGAAAATTCTCAACCTTTTGTAAGATTCTCAGAGGGAGTTTGGTTCTTGATGCACTCGTTACTTATGCATTTATACTCAACAGGGCAGAGATTGTTCACACACGGCCCTATTTTCTCCAGCTTTTCTCGTTTCGTATCTGTAATAATACAATAATTTCTGTTATTGGAACGTATATCCATTCATAAATAAACTAATGTTTCTGGTTAGTACAAAATTTTGGCTAGAAATGGAAAACAATGTGGGAATTAAGGATTAACAAATTTGATAGGAAGCCATAGCAAGTATGAATTTTTACTTTAATAATTTATCATATCGATGTTTATCAGTAGTACTATTCTCAGAATTTCTATTTTTTCAAAAAACATTCCTTGTAATTTTAATGATTGGGGCTTATAGATTATCTGCTTGAGGAAAAGTACTTCAAAAATTTGTCATGTGATATTAACGTCCTACAAGTTTATTAGAATCAAATGTGCATATGATTGTTTTATTCTAAGAGTAATACAGTCCAGTGCTTTAATGGTAATTTTGAAGATGGAATACCTGTTGGAAGTGCTGAAGTAACAAAAACTATCGAAATTATTATAAAGATTATTCTGGTAGTTGACATCAGAGAGTGTTGTAAATAGTTTCTTGGAATTGAACTGAACATAGAATTGTGTAATGAAGGGAGCTGAGAAATGGGTTTTATACCGTTTTTTTGTTGCTAATGTTGATATTTAAAAAGATTGAGAGAATAGACAAAATGAGAGGATTGAAGGGTATGGATGATAATGATGCAATTTGTTTGATATAGTGTTGGCGAGTAAGATGCTTCTTCTTGTTTGCTTTGATAATTGAAATGCTCGCAAAATGAAGATGCAAAGAGGAGCAAATTGCTGCTCTTATTAACTAACCGATTTAATTTGTAATTGGAAAGCGTTAATTGCTAAATAAATAAGAATTTTTCTTCACGAAGCACAAAAGAGACAGAGAAAAGTTGACACGATCAAATCAAAGAGCATCGCTACAAAATCTCTTTATAGTACTGCTTAATTTTACAAATGCAAATTTAAATCAGAATATACTGGTTTCTATTTTCTTCCACAAGAAGGTGTAGTAGGTTATAACAATTAATTCATTCTCATAATGGCTGATAAACCATATATTTTGGATTTGTTCTTTTGAAATATATCTGACAGAAATTTATATGGAAGTTTTTATTTGATGGCTACGTATAGTTGAATTTCGCTTATTTCTTTCTCACAAGAAGAAATACAAATACATCATATAAAAGTTACAAGAAGAAAATTACGAAATCAACCATTTTTCTTTTTTTAAATTTCAAGAAAAAAAAATGCATGGTCTCTAGAATCATTGCTTGGTGAGGAAAAAATAAGCGACATTCAATATTTTAAGTTTTAGATTTAGTAAGTTTTAACTTATTGCAATGTATAACTTGAAGTAAATATCAGTCAGATCCAAAGGATAGTCGAGAAAGAAATGAATTCCACCAATACAAAAACAATATTGGACGAAAGATGCAATATGAAAACTCTTTTTCGACTGTTATTCGAATAAATATGTACATTAAAATTGTGAAACAACATTGCAGTATGTAAACAAACAATTCTGTTCGCAGTCTTAATTTGAATGAAACTCAATAAAATATGAAAAAATGCAACAAAAAGAAGTAGTCGGAGTGTTGAGGACTGAGATTTTTGTTGCGAACAAAGAACTGAAGAATAACATTTACCATCCAAAGATTATAAAATGTTGGATTATTCTGTCAAGTAGCATCTATTATTCCTGGGGTAACATATGGAATTGCTTGGACATAAGCCTCGGAGACATGGACCAATGCTTTTACCTGAAGAAATAAGAATAAAGAAACCTCGAGAAAGGTTAACTTATTACTTAGAAGAATTCATATCTAACTATTTCACGAATTGGTGCAGTATTGAATTTCTTTTGCTAGACGATAAAAGCAAAAAATTTAATGTTAGAACTTATAAGATTCTGTGATTTTGTATCAATTTAAATAAAATGTGTTTATAATTAAAACAGAGAAGAATCAGTTCAATGCAATACTATCATCGAATATATTCAAAATTTCATTAAAACCCGGTGATGTCTTTCTTTCAAAACCATATATTGGACATTTAGGATTGTACGGCAGTGTTAGCGATCTATTTAATATGAGACAATTAATGTATACAAATTTTTCGCCTTATTTTAAAAAACAAATAGCGATCTGTTAAAAAATCAACCTTTAATTTTTTGGCCTTCTTCTTCAACACACTTTATTTTTTTGCATGTGTAGCCTTCAGCACAGAAATTAAATGCACCTAAACAAAATCCTGGCTCTTTCGGTTCTTTTACCTTCGATCCTGAAACTCTTCTTGATCTGATTTTTCACTATATTCCGTTCATAACATATTCGAAGTGGTCTACAAAAAACAGTAACTTTGAAATGTTTACTTCATGTTCAAAGATCAGTATCATCAATAAAAAAATCATGAAATTTTTTAATTTATAAATTTTTAACATGAAATCTTCCAATTTGGAATTTTCTATGAAATTTTCGATCCGAAAGTCAATGTAAGCCACATTAGACAATGTTTTCACTATTCTAATGAAATTCAAAGATGACAACGAGGTATAATGACAAGAACTATTCTAGGTTTTGTGTTTTCCAAAGCCTTCTTTATCTCCGCTGATACTCTTACAAATAGCAATAAAATGTCATACAAATTGAATAGGTATAAGTTATTTAATTCTAGTGCATTAGTAAAGTGAATACCTCGTGAAAGTGCATTCCCGGAAATGGCTGGGAAAGTTAAAATTGTAATCACAGTGATGATTTGTATGGAAGTAGTGAACATTGTTGAACGAAGAATGGAGTTGCTGAGCAGAAGATGGATAATTGAAGTGAATGAGGAAGAGGAAATCGAAGGAGACTTCACTGAAATTGTTTATTCTTTCTGGTTCAGTTATGAACAGATATGGTGATCAAGTATTTCAAGAGAAGGAAGTCGAAGGAATAGGAATGGAAAGTTGGATAAGATGATGTAGTTTAATGCAAGGAGCATCTCAAAGGTCAACGAATATGATGATCAGAATTGCCAACAATGTAAAAAAAAAGGTCACTGCGTCACTGCAAAATTTGAAGGAGACAGTGTTATAAGTGTACCAACTATATATTACAATGAGATAACCATTTTGAAATGCTTCTAAATATCTTTTCATTTTCAAACCAATAATCGCAGTTAGAAATTTCTATTTCCTGTAATACTTATCGAATATTTTATCAATTTAATGTCACCTGAGAATCTTCCATCTAAAAATATAAGGAAGAGGAAATCGAAGTAATTCACTCTAAAAAATGTAACAGACATGAATAGATCCGTTTGCATTGTGAACACATGCGCAGAGCACAAATATCTACAAATAGAATTTAAATATCCTCCTGGCAAAATTTTCAAGTACTATCATAAAAACCATATCCCTAAATCTCTGAATCTTTCTCTAAATCTAAAGCATTTTTTTTTTTCATGCCACTGTGTTTTCAGGAAAATTTTTGAGTAATATTTTTATTTTTCCAAATTCTGTTTCTTCAATCAACGAATTTATCATCTGTCAATATTCGGCTTGTTAACTAGCCAGCATTTTAACCGAATGTTTTGATGACTAATATCAAATTGCATCATATGCTGAGCATTTACTAAAATTAGGAAAATACCTTTTGCGAATGTTTCCGCAAATCATTGAGGATACCAGCCAAATTTTTTTTGACAAAGCAGAAATTATCTTTTTACAATTAATTTAAGGACAAAATTGATTGCAATATTCTGACCTGGTAAATTTAGTAGCTTGTTGAAATCAGTTCTACAAGATGCAGTGTTACAATTGATGAAACGATTATTCAGCTACTCAGCATCAACATTTAATAGCGTTTAAATTCTTTTCAAAATTTTTTCAAACACAAGCATCTTGAAAACGATATGTTAGAAGACGAAAACTCCCGCCCGATCCATTTTTACTTCAGAAATATTAAACGAAACGTTTTATAGAAACCCATCCTTGATAATGCTATAGCGACGATCCTTAGAATCCAAATGGATAGTGGAAACTTTCTGGCAAAATACTGGGCACTAGTTTTACCAGAAACAAAGTACATGTTAAAGTTCAAAGGAAAGGTTAAACAAAGAGGTGAGTGCTCGCTCTATAAATATGTCACAAGACGCTGGATTACAAATCGGCGTTTTGCATAAATATAATATATGGGGATTGATTTCTTATTAACAATGTTGGTAACGAACAATTTCATCAACACTTCCCATTCAAGAATCATCTGGTCTGAAGTTTTTCGGTAGGACAATCCAGATAGGATCATGCAAGTGTTTTGAAATATCCATTTATGAAAAAAAGAGAACATGATACTATTACTGTAAAACTGCTTTGAAACACAAAACCATGCAATAAATTTCACGATCAATTCTACCCACACATGATGACTACAGCATTTGGTAATGTAAAAACAAAGAAACATTTTCAATGCTCCGAAACAATTTAAAATACTTTTCTCTGTAAGTGGAAACGAATTTTTTTTACATAAAAAAAGTACAAACATATAATAATTCTAACGGTCTCCACGAAATCGAATGGAATGTACTTTCACTTAGTTGAATACACATTTAAGCAAATTAAAATTAGTAAAAAATTTGAAGAAAAGTCAAATGGTTGATTTAAATAAAATAGTATGCGGCATCCCAAATTATTATTGTTCAGCTTTGTTTTCATACGAAGCGGGTGATCCGATTGATTGCTAAGTAGGGTGATAAGGCGAAACAAACGGTCCAGGAACTTGACAACGATTAAAAAATGGGCGATTTTGCACTGAAGCTTGACCCAAGCGAACGAATTACCTACGTTGGGAAGAAGCTTGGAGAAGAACCCTGTCCGACAACACTAAAAATTACGAATCCTACTTCGGTCCGTGCAATCTTCATTCCTTCATTTCATTTTTCTTCCTCTTTTAAAGTTCTTTCCAGTATCATTCCAAGCGACTTTCAGGATCGGCAGGCGTGCAAAGTGAAATGCACCTCAAACGAAATGTTCCGTATCCGTCCTCCAGTCTTTGCGCTGAAGCCTGGTGAAGAGACTGTCGTCAAGGTTGGCACAGATACCTTAGATAGTGAAATTCTTTCGCCAGCTAAGTTTCTGGAAATTTTTTCGAACTTTAAGCAAAACTTGATGGTTCACATTTATAAAGGGAAAATTACAAAGATAACTTTCTAGTTAACTTTCAATGCGGGAAAAACAGTACCCGACAGTGGGAAACACTACTTTGCAGTGTACTATATAAAGGCGACTGACGAGAACAAGGCACCAAGAGCGTGCTGGTCAGATCACAAGGGAGATCCAAATGGGACAAAGAGGTAAAGTGAGCCTAGGCCTTATGATAATAAGACAGTTATAACAATGATAGCAAAGATGTTAATTGTTTGACAAGAAATGATTGGGACCACATTTTAGACTCTATGTTGATTTCAAAAAGGAAGAAGGCGATGAAAAGAAGGAAGAGGCTGAGAAAAAGGAAGAGGAGAAAAAAGAGGGCGAAGAGAAAAAGGAAGCTGAGGAGAAGAAGGAAGAGGAGAGAAAGGAGGAGAAGAAGGAAGAAAAGAGAGATGAGAAAGAAGAGGAGAAGGTTAGCTTTGTTACAAAAGCTTGATTTTAATTTGGGAACTTAATCGAAGCTTAGCTTCTTTTTTCATCCTTTCCGAAATTCAGTTCTTTTTCACTCAATTAATTACTATACTTCTCTAATTAAACTGAGCAGAAGAGTAGCAGAATCTTAAATTATTTAAATTTTCAAATCTAGAAGACTGGTGTATTACAGAAAGAGGACAAGAAAGAAGAAAAGAAAGAAGATGAAAAGAAGGAGGAAAAAAAGGAGGATGAAAAGAAGGAAGAAAAGAAATGAAATGCTATCATATTTAGAAGGGAAGCTTTTGCAATTAAATTAGCAGCGGAATTGCAATTAGTGACGAACTTTCATGATTCTGAATAATTGTAACTAGTTACGAAATTTCATGATTTCTAAAATGTTTAACTCTAATTGGGAAGTAAGCTTTGACCTCACAATCTCCTTCAACGTCCTTTTAATCTCTCAGGAAGGCATTTCTTTCCTCATCTAAACTCTTCCCTTCTTTAATTGAAAATGTACAGTTCACGCACACCTGAATTAATTAATGGATGGATCATGGATCACTAACAACAACAACGACGTACAACGATATCTGCTAGGACCGTCAAATCAAATCTCACTCGCACAACAACTAACCATTTTGAAATAAAATTAGTCATTATTGCATCACGTAACCACTCTCTGTATTATTATGCATTTCATCACATCTCATCATGCTGCTGCCTTCTGACTCTGATTTCACCCAATATAGATTACATACGTGCATGCTGCATGCATTTACAACACCTAACACATGCGTACTGCATGCAACTATAGCATGCATCTCAGTACTGCTCTATACATACACCCAAACGCAGAGACAAACTAGTATTAATGGTAGATACAATGCAGTAAAAGTGGCAAATTGAAGCCACTGCGGAAGATATTCTGGAAGAACAGAACGGAAACAGAATTGAGGACACAATTGATGGAAGGAGTTTAGAAGTTTGCCTACTTCACAGAGGTCAAACCATCTTCCTTGTTGGTCATTTGTCGGGATGGCTATGTTTTTAACAGCTTGAAGAAGGACCTGAATGAGACATCCTGCGCGGTTGGTGACATCATGACACTCTTCCAAGAAACTTATCAAACACTGCATGCATTTACAGTTGGGAGAGAGAGAGTGAAAATACTAGATAGACAAACAATTCTAATAATGAATGAAGTTTTAACACAATCCCTTATTGTCCGTATACTGTAATTTGTTGAAAATGCTTCCATTTCGTCACATTTAACCCTCCGTTACTTTTATTTAAACAAAAAATTTGTAAGTAATATTTGGAAAGGTGAAGGCATTTCCACATCAAGCGCAAAATATCAATTGCTGCAACTACACATTCAAAGTCATCACCGCTATTCTTGACGACAAATGCGCTTTATTCAATTAGTCTTCCACAAGATAGCTCCAATAGTCCAGTGAGTTCTGAATGGAATGCGCGAAATTTACAAATTTTAAATTTTATTCCTTTTGTAAATTAAATGCGGTGAGGGAGGTGGTGGTCACGTGATATAGGTTAGGGGTCGCGTGGAAGGGTTGCATATGTCTTTGGTAGCATTTCAGATTCTCGGAAAATTAAGGTAGTTGTTCTATCGATTGATTTGTGACCATGTCTCAACATTCGGATCATTCTCGAAGAGCTTATTCTCAAGGTTATTCCTATTATATACTTTCAAATTAACACAAATTTCCGAAGTACCGATAGAAATCATTGTTGATAATTAGGTTTATTGGTATGACTTAGTTAGATAATTTGGGAAGAAAATCAACGTTAAGATTAATTGAATTATTAGGCTGAGCAATTTGAGAGTTTGAAATTTGAGTAGTTGTCAACACTATCTGCTTCATATTGCTATATCAATTTGAAATTCATGCAGGCGAAAATGACTATCAGTCAGAAGATACTGCTGCTGATGTTTTTGAAGAGAACATTGATTTAGCCGGAGATGGAGATGGTGATGCTTTAGCTGAGTTGTTCGGTGCTGAAGAAGAGGAAGTACAGGACGAAGAAGAAGGAGAAAATCTTTTCGGTGACGATATGGAGCGGTAAAATATATGTCCTCTTTCTATTTCTCCTTGAAGCTAATGGTTTTAAAATAAATTAATTCAAGCAAATTACATATGTTTTATAGAGATTATCGTCCACAGCCAGAGCTGGATGTTTACTCACAATCGGGCATGGATGATGCATCAGAATATACGGAGTTGACGGAGGGAGCACGCCGTGCAGCTGAACGCGAGATGGATGAGCGGGATAACTTGCTGGATGAAGATGCTTTACTTTATGAGCAGGTTCGCTAAGTAATTGCGGTATATTCAGATTTGCCTTAATAGAAGGCTTCATTATCCTAACAATACTTCTTTCTTTTCCCAGGATGAATAGATACTCTGCAAACTTTGATGTAAATGATACATAAAGTGTTACATATCTAATTGAAAATATGAATATCCCATTCGAATAGGAAAGTAATTTTCAGATGTTTGGGTATCTTTTAGAAACTGGATCAATTTTCCCATAAAACTGAACCTTTGAAACAATTTTGGTAGAGTCCATTGTATGCCATACATTTATTTGATGTAGATTTAAAGTCTTCAGAATGACGTAGATGTTGGACGACATGTACGCCGCTATTTTCGGAAAGATCGAGCCGATGATAATGAAATGGAAGTTGAAGAGGAAGAAGAAATTCCTATCGATATTTTAGAAAACTTTCGAGGAAGATCGACACGTGAGCATGTTTCAGATGAAGCAGTGGGACGAGAAATAGTAAGGCGGTCAGTAAGCCAATCATTCATAATTTTATCAGCATTTGTTTTTCATTTCTGCACTGAAAGGATGGAAATGTCAAGTGAAATATAGCAAATGGCTGTATTATAAATTAATTCAAGTATTATATTTGGTTGATTATGAAATATCATTTATTTTGCAGCTTTAAAAGTTTTGTTCGTGGATATAAGGACGCGAAGACCAAGAAACTAAAGTATTTAGATGCAATAAAATTAATGGTGGCAGAAAATCGTGAGTCGCTAGAAATCGACTATGAAGATTTGGCAAGTGAAAATGGCGAGCAAAATATTTGTTACTTCTTGCCAGAAGCACCCATACAAGTATGTGTTGAAATTCTAAAAGAATGTATATTTAAATTTTATTTGTATTCCAAAACTGTCTTATGGAATGAATTTGCGTTTCTAAGCTTTCACTTTTCACTTAATGCAGTTTACTATTGACCTACCACACTAAAGCTAATTTTTTAATTTTATAGGTGCTGAGTTATCTTGATCGTGCAGTGACCGAGGTCACACTTTCGTTATTTCCGTTCTTCCCTCGTATTGCTCCGGAAGTTAAGGTACACTATTTTATTCCATTATTATGACGATATGATGAAAGAAATAATGTTTTTCTGTTTTTTTATTTGTTTGAATTTCACCATTAACATTAAAGATACGTATACGGGGGCTTCCTGTTGAAGAGGATATACGAATGTTACGTCAATTACATCTGAATATGTTGATCAGAACATCTGGTGTTGTAACGGTTACCACAGGTTTGCTATTATTATGCAGCTAAAAATTCTGAATTAGCTTATTTCTGAATTGAGTTCTCATCAAATAAAAAATCCGAAAAATGCAAGCCAGGTAATGAAGTCGTAAATTTGTTCCTAATTACTTCCAACTAAGCTTCCAATTTTTATTCAATTTCTATTTGGTACAGGAATGCTACCGCGATTATCTGTCGTCAAATTTGACTGCGGAGCATGTGGTTACCTTCTCGGTCCATTTGTACAGCATCAAGATGAAGAAGTCAAACCTACTATGTGTCCATCTTGTCAAAGCCGTGGGCCATTTGAGTTAAACATGGAGAATACCATTTACCATAATTATCAACGAATAACTATCCAAGAAAGTCCAAATAGTGTTGCTGCTGGGAGATTGCCTAGAAGCAAAGATGTGGTGCTTACGGCTGATTTGTGTGATGCATGCAAACCGGGTGATGAAGTCGTAAGTTTAGGTGTTCCCAGTTATTCTGTACTTATCTAGCAAATGAATGAAAGCAGTTTGCATGTGCTTGGTATATAAAAAATTTCATTAACATCGGAGCGTAGTAGTGAATCTGGAAGATATTGTAACTTGTTCCTTAATTCTTTTTGGTTCGAATGAGTTATGTTATTTTCAGGAATTGACTGGCATTTATACGAACAATTATGATGGATCAATGAACAGCAAGCAAGGTTTCCCTGTTTTCAATACCGTAATATATGCAAACTACATATCAAGAAAAGATAAAATCGCCTCTGACAGTCTTACTGATGAAGATATTCAGGTTCTAATTTCAAATTAATGTCGAATTGTTTCGTGGAACATGTTTCGACAAGGATAAGATTTATGATTTGGATATGGTATGTTTAGATTATTCGGCAATTATCAAAGGACCCACAGATAGCGGAAAGAATATTTGCTAGCATCGCTCCGTCGATTTATGGTCATGATGATATCAAGCGAGCCATTGCACTGGCACTTTTTAGGTGATTTATTGAATTGAACATTTTATAATGCCAAGAGTAGAAGTGATTAGCAGTGATAATAGCAGTCTCTTTTCCCATCTTTTAATTTCTTAATATTCAGAGGGGAGCAGAAGAATCCTGGTGAAAAGCACAGTATTCGAGGTGATATCAACGTTTTATTATGTGGTGATCCTGGTACAGCAAAATCTCAATTTCTACGCTATGCTGCTCATGCTGCGCCTCGAGCGGTTCTTACTACCGGTCAAGGTTAGTTTCTCAACTTTGTATACGGTTATCTTTACATTTCCAAATTATCAAAGTAAAGGAAAGATAGGTAAACATTTTTAGGGGCTTCGGCTGTGGGTCTTACTGCATATGTGCAACGTCATCCAATAACACGAGAATGGACACTTGAAGCAGGTGCAATGGTACTTGCAGATAAAGGAGTTTGTCTTATTGACGAATTTGACAAAATGAATGATCAGGTTGGTTTGCTAGTTTCCAGGTATTCTCTAAAAAAAAAAATCATCATTTGGATCGAGAATAAATCTTGTTCCGTTTTGGTAAAAAACTATAGTTATAGTTTTCTTAATATCGGTATTGTTGAAGTTTAGCCTCTACACTGCAAAATTTTCGAACTTTTTTTCGCCATTTCAGGATCGTACTTCGATTCATGAAGCGATGGAACAGCAATCAATATCTATATCTAAAGCTGGCATTGTTACATCCCTACATGCACGTTGCACCGTAATCGCTGCTGCGAACCCAATTGGTGGTCGCTATGATCCCTCTCGTACTTTTGCTGAAAATGTTGATCTTACCGAACCGATTCTCAGTAGATTCGATGTGCTGTGTGTAGTACGAGATACGGTGAGTAGTTTTATCAATTCCAAACTTTTATATTTTAATGGGAGAAAAATTTCAGGTAGACCTAGTAGAAGATGAACGACTTGCTAATTTTGTTGTGGACAGTCACCGAAAGCATCATCCAAATGCAAAAGAACTGCAGGAAAAAGAAACAAAACCAGGAAATTCGCAACAGACATCTGCAAGTTGTTTCATTTTCAATGCTATTATTTATTTTTTGAGACATTCAGTTATTGTATACAAATAGTTATTTCAGAACTTGTTTACAGTCTAGCTGTCGAACACTGAGCCTAATTCTTATTTTTCTGAATTGGCGAATCATTGAAGATAATTCACTTTTTTGCTTTAGCAACCAGAAAAGGATCCAGCCACTGGTTTAGAATTGATACCACAAACAATGCTGAGGAAATATCTGATGTATGCTCGGGAAAATATACATCCAAAATTAGAACAATTGCCGCAGGATAAAATTTCAAAATTTTTTGCTGAAATGCGGAAAGAATCTTTGGTGTGTTTAGAAAAATTATTTTTTTATTCCCTCTATAACTTCTTACTACAACATGTATTTACTACATGTAGAATTATTTAGAGGTGTTAGTAATGATTTGTTAAAGAAGTTTATGGTTTGGAAACAACTGAATATGAACAATATTGCATTAAAATTATGTCACGGCATCTCTTATGTTTTATTTTGCATTTTCCGGAGGACCAAAGAAATATGCGTCTACCGGTCTGAATTGGCTAACTAGACTGAAAAATATTTCTGCTTGCAAATACACAAAATTTTTTCTTCAATATGAATAAATTTAGGCAACAGGATCGGTTGCTGTAACGGTGCGTCATGTAGAATCGTTAATTCGTCTGGCCGAAGCTCATGCTAAAATGCATCTTCGTTCTTATGTGTGCGATGAGGATGTTAATGTAGCTGTGCGAGTAATACTTGAATCATTTATTAACACACAAAAAGCATCCGTTATGCGACAAATGCGAAAGGTTTGTTATCTTTGGGTGATTAGAAAAACACCACTATGACTTTTAAGATTCCCCTAATGTATTTTAAACTACATTATCTGTTTCCTTCTGTTTCTTTCAGAACTTCGATAGATACATTTTTGTCAATCGCGATCACAATGAATTATTATTGTATCTCTTGAAACAATTAGTTAAAGACCAATTGCATTATGAACGAGCGCGACATAAAGAAACAACTCTGTCAGCTATTGGTATTCCTGAATCTGATTTTATTGAAAAAGTACGTTTAACCTTTTTTTCATTATTTTCCTGAGTTTTAAAATTTTCAAAGTTTTTCGAAGAAAAATTTAAATTTTCATTTTAAAATGATTGAAAACAGTAGGTTTTTCAAAGAGAAGTCCATTCGGGAATTAGAAGACTGGATTAATTACTTAACTAAGATACTATTATTGACAAGATTAAAGGCTTAACACATTTGGTTATAAATTTATTGAGCTTTAATACATTGTTACTATGAGATCTGTTACGATGTATTTGGTCCTCCTCCGCATTGTCTAAAAGCAAAAATGTGTCGCTCGTTTCATGTCACTTTTACATATACCCTCTTCTAATTATGCTTTGAACTTGTTTGAGCTTCATGTGTCGGTCATTAATTTTAAAGTAATAGTCCATTTATAAGTACGGAAAAAGGCAATAGATATGGAGTTCTGCTATGCTTAAAAAATGTTATTATATTGTGTTGTAATAACTATAAAATTATCATATTTTTGACGAACATCTTTTCAGCTTTTAGCATCTTTTTTTTAAATACTTTATTTCTGATAATTGACTTTTTTTCCCCTTTTGTTTCAGGCACAACAAGTTCACATTGAGAATGTGAAGAATTTTTATAGAAGTCAACATTTTCTCACAAATAATTTTATATATGATTCCAAGCGAAAACTAATTGTGCACAATTTATAAGTAATATGTAACGAATTGTTTTATTAATACCAATTTATCATTGTCTTATTGGCACGTATTGCTTTGCATCATTTATTCTATACATTCTGTCATGTTTGGTTACAGTTACCATAACTGCTATTGGTGTTACAAAATTTCTGTCTTCATTCTCTGCGTAATATGAGTTATTCTCCAAGGAAAATTTTGCTTTTTAAATCTTAAATATATGTATATTCATACTCATTTTATGTGTATATGATTATTTTTAAAAACTTGTAAATTGAAATTGCAAGCAATTATGCTTAGGAATTAATTAGTTCTTTCTAAAGTGTCTTAGGTATTTTCTAAAGTGTCTTACGTAATTTTTAAAGTGTCTTACGTAATTTTGTGACGTATTTAAAATGTATAGCTTAATGTTTTTTTCTATTGATTGAATATTTTTATAATGTGTCCATACTAGTTTTACGTACTATCAGACATGGGTTGATTATTTATATGAGCACTTTGCACATGTAATCCAGTGTAGTCCTCAAAAGAAAGGTAAATATCTCCTACATTGTGCATGTTTTCTTAATTTTTCACTCTTCATTTCATTCTCAAGCCCCAACGTTTATTACCATGCTTTCTAGAAAATGTCAGAAGTGCTAAAGTAAATTCTCTCTCTTATTTATTTAGTACTTTGTTTATTATGTAATGCTTGAATCCTCCATCATAAATACGCAGGGACTTTCTGTAAATCTTATAACATTACTAAAACCTGATCATGGATTCCGCAAAAAACTGGGAAGTGAAATTCTATTCTTTCATTCATGATTGTGGGATCAATTTCTTCACAACATTCGTTAATTTTCCACAAACGTTTACAAGACTTACATAAACGTCTTCATTTGAGTCATTTGAGTGTCATAGAGAATTGTCGCTTACTGGGTTGATTCATCGTCCCATTTACTCCTTGTTACGAACAATATGCAATACTAAATAAGCAAATAGTTATGAATACCTTATGGAATGTTGGAAAGTGACTTGTTTACTGCCAATAATTACGTTTTCTATTATAGTCTCGGTAAAAATCAGTAACTAGCCTAATTACTAATTGCCCAATCACACAACTAATCTCGAAGTCACGAAAATTTCAGAAAACAAATCCGAAGAAAGCAATTACTGTCATGTTATATGTTAAATAGTATGAAGATAAATATTTTAAATACATGCTTAACAATATTCCATTTTTCCATGTATATGCAGTCACGGAAGACTTCTTTCGAAATTATGAATATGCGGTCACGTAGAATTGGTTAAAAAATTTAATGCAAATTTTCATTTCAACAAACATGTTAAAATTGAAAGTTATTCCAAACAATCTATTATTTACCAAGCGCTTTATGTTTATCTCCAAGGTATTTATTTCCAGAGGAATTCGGTAGTAAAGAATCATTGAGTTTAGTAATCTCATGTTTCTTATAGAATTCAGTTGTTACTAAAAATACAAAATAGGCTTTCGATCCATTTTCCTATCAAAAATTTATTTCAGAAAAGTAACATGAATTCACAGAAAGATAACAAAAGTAAAAAGTGATAATATAGATAAAGCTCAGTTGACACTTCTGTCCTCTTGTGTCGTATTTTCCAGTGAATATTTCTTTCTATAAAATGTCTCTTATTTTTCCTATGAAATGTGTTTGAAACATATATTCTATAGATTGCCACTTAAATGATTAATTTTTTACAACAAAGGAAGAAATATTTCAAATGGCTGTTGCTGTTTTCTCTGTAAATTATTACTAAAACTATTACACAAAACAGTATTAGTGATCACAGTAGAAAATACGTACGCAATGTCGATTAGCTTATTTTATTTTATTAGTTAAATTTTATCATTGAAAGTTAGTTAATTTTAGTATCTTAGGATCAGTTACTACTTGTTCTAAGGAAACAAAGAATGCTGGCATCGAATAATCATGATTCATTCTTCCTGGATTCTGCCGCATTGTTCCGGATTCCTACAACATAGGAAAATAAAACATTGTAGAGAAAAAAAAAAATCCTATTGTAATAATTGCCAGTGTAGTAATTTGTGTACTTTTTCGTTAATTTTCGTTTGTTTCCATTTTCTGAATGGTTGCAAATTAATCTCAAGAATTTCAGTTTCTGACACAGCATTGATTCTTAATCCGTCTTCTGTTGTTTCCGATCCTGCTCATGCATAATACGTCTACACTGATCAGCCAGCTGATGTACGAAATTTTAAATAAATTTTCTCATCTCATATATTATCGCTATCAATTCTCATTCCATTTTATTTTCCTAGCTCAGTAAAGAACAGCACTTAACGAAGGTCAAGGATAGGAAAACAAGACCAAAAGATAGAATTTGAACAATCGCAAGTTTATCAATACTTTTTCTTCGCTTTCACATAGACATTTTCATCTGATTAATTATCAAAATCTCCCAATAGCTAACCAAGACTTCTGTCTCAATACATTATAAATGTCCTTAATTCTCACATCTCCAAGTTTCAGAAACTTTCTAAGTTGGGAGTGGTATGACTGATCATTCTAGTCCCAAAATTTTAACGCCTCTTGTACATTCCCTTTATCCAATAATAGCTCTGTCGGGAATAAATAAATAAATAGGACGAAAAAGAGAAAATCCAAAAATGAGACATGCAAATCTTGAAAAATCTTTGTCACTACTTTTAGTCTTATGAAAAACGCATGAAAATTTTGAATTTCAGCAGTTCATTCAATTAGCAACGTTAGGAAGGCCGACTTTCACTTCACTTCTCGTACCTCTTGACGGTGACAGCTTCATGAATCGGTAAACAAATTTAAAGCAGCCTTCAATATTTATTTCTTTTTGTAAAAAAGAAAAAGAAAACAAAAACGATCAAGCATATCTGATAACTAAAATTTAATTTAATACAAGCTTTCTCAATCAAAACCAACTCTACTCTTCAATCGAGATTTTGATTAGCTCACTATCAACAAGTCACAGTAGTTTAAAACAAAATTATTTCATCAATTTTGATTACTTTTTTCAGTTTTTGCAATAACGACTACCTAACTGAAATTTGTTTCAACTCCCATTCCCACTGCACTGCCACATTCTTACAATCAGCTCAAGCTATTATATTTTATACTAATTAGTGTTTTCATGTATCACTTTATTTCGACATTAAATCAATTAATTTCAGAGAGCTCTGAAATAGCTGCTACATAGTTATCTATTGCTTTTGCCGAATTACTGCAAAATTTAAGCATTTTTACACTTCCTTCGGTGAAGCAAGTCCGAATGGCGAGTACCAATTTCTGTTTCTATTATTTAAATCATCACCCGATCATGTTTCCGTTTTCTCTGTTTATGGTTATCATGAAAATAGAGAATTAGAGAAGACGGGAATAATAAAATGAAAGAAAAGGAAAGCATGAAGACTAGTTAATAATTAAACGATTAGAAATTATCACAACGTCATATTATTCAAGCTTTTAACAAAAATAATTCGCTTTTATTTGTCAGATTATCATAGAAATATCCTTACCTTACCAATGCAGTTAATTTCTTAATAATAGCTATTTCCTCAATGACTTAAATTTAAACAAAAAATGAGGTTGGTCTTTCCATATCCTTGCAGAAAAATATTAAATGCAGCCTTCAAGACTTATTCCTTTTGCAAAAATAGCCCTTTTAAGATCTAAAATTAAGGTCAGTAATAGAGAGAGCTTATTAGCTGATCAAATATACAAATATTATTAATTCACTCTAAGTTCTTGTACCATTAAAGTGGAAAAAGAGAGGGATTTCTGTTGTTTCTGCATAAAGGTAACCGAGCACGGAGCATTCCAAGTTTCTTATCCCTTATTTTGGGGCATCTCATCATTCTTATTCTGCCCTCTCTATTACTGCCTCGTCCAGTAAAGTACACAGTGTTGAGCAATATATTAATCTATTGTCAGCAAGACAAAAGTTCACTACAATTCGTTAGCCAAAAATTGTGAGCAATGTCGCAAATATGTTCATTTTTCATTAAATTCCTTGCCAACAAAACATTCTGGAAAACATGAAAAACTGAAGAAAAGATAGGAGGGGATATTTACAGTAGAACATCTAAATAACATAGCTGAAGTAACATCATAGCAGCCCATCACCTTCCAAAAAATATTGATCTTCTTCGGGAGTTTTCCATATTAAACAGATTGCCTGAGCTGAGGATTTTTAAAAAGCAGACCGAAATTATTTTCATTTTTCGCTTTTAGAAATTTGAAGACTTCGAAACACTCAAAAATGCATCTAAATGCCATTTTAATTATAAGAAATGCAGGAGCAACTAAATTTTGGTAAAAACAAATTGAAAACAAAAGTACGAATCCACGGCAACACATATATACACATAACCATTTTCCACTGGCAGGAAAATGAATCAAAAAGAAAGACTTTAGGCAAATGCGTTCCTCTTTGAAGGAAAGTGATATTTCTTAGACTGAACTAAATATATTACTAACATAATCAGATGTTTCTCTTCCAAAAGTTCTCCAGATAAAATAACATGTGTAGAAATACAAAACAAAGCTGGCTAAAACACAAGTTTACCCGAAAAAGAATCTAATCCGGACTATGAGATTTCGTCAAGTCCACTATACCATTTAGTGTTCCGCTGATGTGTTCAAAAACTACAGTGATTAAAAAACAGATGATACAGGCAAAAAGAAGTATGCATACTTATGGGCTTCCATTCCATTCAAATACGTCATTATTAATACTTCAGAATTCAATATTAGAATTAAAATTTCAAAAAATACTGCGACGACAAATTTTACATTCTCTACTTAAGCTACCTTCATAAAAACTAAACACAATACATTTTAGGTCATTTAAAAAGCGGTTGATCAATATGTTTCAGTTCTACACCAAACGTATTCTAGTAATTGGGGAACTTGAACACCTAAACAGATGATTAATTAGAGAAAAAAGAGGCGAAAAGAAAGAAATGGCTGACGTGAGAACAGGGTAGATATGGAACAAGCAATTACAACCGCTTTTTTATTTAATTTTTATTCATCATCTATCATTCCCTCTTCATAGCTATCCAATATTTGCATAATTTTCATTCGTGCCTGCAAAAATAAATCATGTAAAATAAGGACTCTACGAGGAATCTTGCGTTAGCTAAGTTTTATTGGAAGAACAAAAGAATTATTCAGAATGAAGAACATATCTTAGTGCGGATATTTTCATGTCAAATTTATATAGTTATGCATCAGTCATTTTCTGAGTAAGAGAGATTGCTACTTGCGATTCGGTTGTGGATGAATGTCACATGAATAAAGATTAATGGTAATTCAATGAAACATACCATGCTTCTACAGTGTGAATTCATTTTTTTCAATCGTAAACCAACAAAACGAGCAAAAAGCATTTCTTCATCATTAATCCAGTCCGCATCCGTGCTATTAGTGCTATTGATTGAATTTACTTGTTGGAATGATTTCGTTAAATTCATCTGCTGTTGCTGTTGCTTCTTCATATTTCGTGCCCGAAATCTAACACTTGAATAAACAGGTAGTCGGTACGGCGAATTTCGAGTGGGATGTGATATCAGTGATTTAAAAGTAACTGGATTACCCGTCCTGGCTAAAGCTATGGCTGGGGCATTTGTAGATGAGCTCTGGTGTTGTGGGATAATGACTGTTGAAGAGGATATAGCGTTAGCTACATCGTGATATTCCTGAGATTTCATAGGACAAGGAGGACCATGCACATGTAATATCTCTTCTGTTTCAAGGCCTGCTTCAGAAGTGCACGGCGATGAGGCTACATTGGGCCCATCAAATGCTGACAAATGAGATGGTCCATCATGTAATGGTTGCAATTCTTGAGGTGTTGAACAACCACTGGGCATTCGAGCACTTTTTAAATTACCATCATCCTGCACTGAGGCAACCGAAGCTTGAGGAGATGAAGGTGATGGACTTCCACATTGTTCCTTCGATATTTTCCCATTACATGCACTAATATCTGAACAGTTCATATCGCTATCTCCATCGGTTTCAAAACCGTCTGAAAAACAACAACTGAATGGATAAAAACTCCACCAAATAAAACACTGTCTTCAATTTTAATGAACTATGATATAATAAGTTTTCGTTAAATTTGAAAATCTTAAAATGTCCCTTCCAAAAATTAACTTTGGCTATGTAACAACATCTAGGATCAGCATCTTTTTCATTGACTTTATAACTTACTTTCTAGTGTTATCGACAATTCTTTTTTCTTTCCAGCTACAGCCGCAGCTTCCTTTTTCAAATTTGCGGTAGCCTCAGCAACAGCAAGTACTGATTGAAGAGTTGACATCACCGGTTTTAAATCATCAAAACATTCCGATAATATGCTTTCATTTGCTATAAATTATAAAAACTTAAAAGAACAAAGGAGCATGTATCATTCAGATTTTGCAATATAAAATTGCGGCTACTGACAGCACTATTCTAACACGAGCTTTTAGTGCAATATGTTCTTTCACTCTTAACAAAAGAACTGTCTCTTCTTAGCGACTTATTTCTAGATTTGAATCAGCAAGGTAAACTTCCATAACTAGAAAGAATAAAACTTAATGATGTGCATACCGCCAGCTGATAATTCTGCAGACGACAACTTGACAGCAAAATTTTCGTAAAATGCATCACTATTACCAGTAGTACTAACATTATCAAGAGTATAACAGGGAGCTGAACTGTTCGGTGTAATTGGTCTATAATAGAGTATTCAACTATATGAAAGAAATTCCTAAAAATTTTATGCTAAAAAATATATAAATCTTTTCTCCTGACTCTATTTACTTTTTGAATAGTGAAAAAAACTTTCTAAATGCTTTGTGAACGTATAATAGAGCATACTAAGATGTAAAGTCATGTCTACAAAATATTTTTCATCTATAGGTAAATGACATTGATGAAAAGTTAATAACAAAAATAAGCAATAAAAGTAAAATGCAAAAAAAAAATACATTGCTCCTTGAAGATATGGATCGAGCCAATTTAAGAGTGGAAAATGGCTCCATTTTTGAGGTTGACTAAAATTCTGAGCAATCGATATTTTCAGTTCTTTGCGATAACGATCACGAAGTTGCAACCAGCGCTTCTTGGCGAATTCTCCTGTAAATGATCATGTAGCATACTATCATTTCCATTTCCATGTGTAAATGTTTCTCAAATTCAAATAAATTTTATCTAAGAAGAAGAACTGTTATATACAATTCGTCACTATGCCTCGTTTGCAATAGCTAGATAGTGCCGATACATAATGAGTGTTTCACTGAAATGTTCAATGCTCCTATTTAAACTCGAAGCGAAGAAGTCTACTAACATACATTCAAAGCCGTTAAAATGTCAGTAGCCTATTCAAAGCAGATAATATGACAAGTCAGACAAACTGGATTAATACTGTGAAGTCATAGTAAAACATTAAATGGCAGGATAGTCTTAATAAGGCTTTAACTGAATTGCAATGAAAATCTTAAGATAACTCAATATAACCTGTCACGCCACGCCCTATTTTAGCTGCAACTTCTTCCCAAACTTTGCTCCTGTCGATATTCTCGAAAGTCCTACGCTGATTGCTATACAAAGCAGGATATTCGCGAACGGTAGTGATAAGGATTTCGTTGAACGATGGTTCACCCGGAGGGTTCAAATAACATGGTGAAGGCATTGGTAATATGCGCGACAACGAATTAGTACTGTAATGGGATATTTTAATTGGACAATTCCTTTTCACCCTTTTCAATCGAAATTATAATATCGTTTTCGGTAATTAATCATATGTCGATGAGCAATGATCCTATTCTCCGACTCTTGAGGTCATGACAAGCTAACACTTGTCGTTAAATACCGCTCATTTCATATCTTCACGATTCGACTAACTCAATTCACTTACGAAAACTGAGTAAATAAAAAACAAAGAGACAGAGCATATTTAGATACTTTAGATATTTTTGATATAACAAAGATGGTACGGGGAAAGAAATGATGCCAGACTTCGGAAATATATAGTGGGCTAGAAGCTGAGAGAAAAACGTGAGGATAAAAAAGAGGGTTAGGGTGGGATAAGAAGGTATTATCAGTACAAGACTTAAAAACCATCTAATGAACGATAATTATGCAGAATTTACTCGGAAGTAAGGTAGCGTCTTTTTGTTGAAAATGCATCAAAACCAAGCTCGTCAAAATCCAGTAACTTGTGAAATCTTGCCTTCATATGATTCATTCATCGACGAAATTATAGATTTACGTCAAATTCTCGAACTATAAACAAAAAAAAAAAAAAAAAAATGAATGTATATGTGTGAAAATTATGGAATCAAATCAAACGCGTAGTATCATTGTGTGACTCTTAGTTCAGTTCCATTTAGCACAATGAAGGGAAATTCTCATATATGTTAAGGGAAGACTTTTGAAATTTTGGTAGTTGAATTTTTGTGCATGTCACTATTCATAAATAGGAAATAACAAAGCAAGCAGTTCGCAACTATGAAAGTTCTTAATATCCTTCCTTTCTGGACACCTCTGCTCTAATTAATGTCATACAACACATTTCTTTTTTTATAGAGTTCCATGGTTACTTCAAACCTAGTAATGATCTGACTATCACGGATGATGCGAGCCAAACCACAATCAGTGGGAGTGCTGCACTGCCCACAGTTTTCAATAAGCACAAAAGTGGAATTAATTAAACCATTGCTCATCATACCACTCATATAAATACAGTTGTCAATCCTAGATGGCAGAGAACAGGAAGAAAAGTGAGAACTAGGTAGGAATTAAACATTTTTTACAGGAATTTCTTCAATCATTTAAACCCCAACATATAATATGCCTACAATTTTTTAGATTGAGTTACAGAGAGAGAAAAATTTTAATTATATGACGATTAGCATTACTCCATTTTTATATAGTACCTACAGTTATCGACACTGAAACTGTTGTATTGAGAGAACTGATGGGGAAGTGAAGTGACGAGCTCGTGTTACAAGATGAAAGATTTCTTTGCTCGTGACATCTGTGGCAACAGTTACAAACAATGACATGCATCATACGACAATTCATTCTGCTTTCAAATTTGCTGCTGAATAATGTTCGATTCAAACTTAATCTTTCAACGACTTGCTTTCTTAAACAGCATTCCAATGATTTAAATTGGAATAAGGGCAGGAAATGAAATTAATCATCAAGCTACAACGAAAGAAAGTCCCGCAAAAAAAGTATAAGCAAGAAGCTAAGAATGGCAGAGATGTCCTGGACTATTATATGTGTAGTGAATCTGGAGAATCAACAAAGTCATTTTGAAAATGAGTTAAATAGGTAAAAAACAAAATTTACTCCACCTTGGTGGATGTCATTCCCAAATGAGTCAATTATGTTGGAATTAACATGAATAAGGAGATTTAAATAAGCAATGTACACACTATAAAGAAAAATGATACTGTCATTTATAACTGAATTGAAATAAAACGAATAGCAAAAAAGACAATAAAAGAGATCAGACATCGTGAGTCCAAATTAAGCAAAGTATTACCTCACCATATTTCAGCTTGTCATCTTTTCCTAACTTCTATTCATTTATTGTATATGAAGGAATAAACAATACTGAAACGAGAAATCAAGTTTTTGAAACGAAGAACAGCATCCTTGCAAGTTTCAAACGATGTAACAGATGCAACTGTAACGCATAGAGTGAATAAGATTGTAAGTAAATGAGAGAGATCCGGAAGGGTCAAGGGTCATTATTTAGCCGAACTTCACAGTGCACCAAAATAGAGAAAACATCAAAATGACATAAGAGGTGTCTCGGTGTAAGAGTTATAAGAATAAGGAAAGGTGTAGGAGTTACAGAAGTGAAAAGAATAATAATGATACCTCATCTACCATAAGGTTATCGATGTTTCATGATGCTGTATTTCTATGAATAACTTGAAGATGCTGTTTACATAGGAAGGAAGGGTAATACAATTTACTAAGTTTTTTTGGTACTTACTGCCATCTAGGTTTGCTAGAATGCCCCACAGAAAACTTCTATGTTCTCGAGAATTGGCAAATGGAAGAGGATGTTAGCGAATGAAATGTATGCTGGTCCGGTTGATCTTTTAGACAAAAGATGTGTCAGTGGGAATGTCTCATGAATCATTATCCTTCCATATAGCTCATTACTTACTCATTTAAACTTTAAACTACGATTAACCCAAATAATTATCTTTGGGTGCTTGCTTGATTACTAGTAGACTGCTCTGATTGTTCCTTATGATTTTCTGAGAAAAAAGAAAGTAGTGAGAACTTCGGATCAGGAAAAAGGAAAAACCGAAGGAGTGCCATTTTGAGAGATAAAAGGTGACGACTGACTTGACAGCAACGGCAACAACAACAACAACACAGGACGACAGAGAAGGGAAATGAGATCGGCTAGTAAGCGGATGAAAATGACAGGAGCCGAGCCGGGCCGGACTCTCATACTTACCTCTATTCTCATGTATTGCAGTAGGTAAGAAACGGACATAGGGAGGAAAGGATAGTTAATCATCAATGTAAGGTACGGAATGAACGGGCAGTAAGTAGCGATAGAACCGGCTGATGACGACAGCGATGTTGCCCGGTTGCAGCGAGACGGACGGATACGTTGTTAAAACGGAGCAGAGGGGATAAGAGTGTATGTATTATATATGTGTGTGTGCGTGTCTGTATATGTATGTGTATGTGATATATATATGTGTGTGTGTGTGTGTGTGTGTGGTGTGGTGTATGTGTTTAGGAAAGAATAAATGCAGCATCCACAAAATTATAACATCACCAAGCAGGAAAAGAATTTTTCCCCCCCTCCTCCCCCCCCCCCCCCCACCTAATCGGTTTGTCCGTTCATCGAGGCACAACATGTTTGTTTGCAGCTCCGGCACCGACACCATCAGCGCGCACCACCACTGCCCTATCTCTCCTTCTATCCCTCCGTATTTCCGGTTACATCGCCATTACTGACAAATATATATAGTAAAATCCTGTTATTGGACGCAGACAGACGAACAGACATACAGACAGGTATACACTAATTAGGGGACAGCAGCAGAACCGGCCCAGACATCCTCTTTTCCGACTCGTGACGAAATGTACCACTGAAAATCCGTTCAAACCATGGAGGCAGAAGAAATTTTTCAGTACTGAAACCACTAAGATGTTTGGATTTTTAGAGTTTCATTGCTACATTATGATTAATCAGAATGGGAAATAAGTGAAAGGTTGCTTAAAAAATATAATAAGATTTAAGTCAGATTTAAGTCACACAATAACACAGTGGAAAAACAGTTCTGATGTGGGTATAACATTGAAAACTGACTGAGGCATCAGGATAGTTACGTTAACGTTGCATACTTACTGTAAGTAGCCTTATAAGAAGGAGTCACGTAATCTTTCCCTTTGCTTAACTGATATTTAAGAAGAAGTGACTTGACTTATTCCATGGTAGCAAAATATTCTTTGAAGTAAACAAGCCGACTGAAACCGTTGGTTCGGTTTAAATAAAGTAATATTAGTACATGAGAGCAACGAAGTAATTACTTGTATTATACATTTTTCACTTATTGATCCACTGCATACTCACCTCTAAAGTCCTTAGGGCGTTCCTTAAATCTCACACATGCACAACTTTTCGGATTTCTTATACAAACATTTTTTGAAAAATAAGTGGTTATTTATACTTGATATTTTCAACCCTCCTACACGGATAAATCGAACGGATGTAACCTGCTAACTTAATTGGAATTATGGTTTAATGCTGATGTCAAAAATCCAGTTGGAAGTCCGTTTCCGATAGGTGAATAAAAAATAAGTCATTAAGATTGCCTGGAGCGACTATGTGACGATTTTAATTTAATGTCATAATGAATAAATGGTCATTCATTCGCAGAACCGTATTTGTTCCAGTCTTCAGATTTTTAGACACAAATTATAGAGAGCCAAAAAAGAACTATCAAGATCGTAGACAGGTGACAGTTAATAGGGCGGCCTTATCGAGGATCATGTAATGGGAGAAATGAAGTGAATTAAGCAGACCATAAATGATGGGGTTCATCATTTTTCAAAAAGAATTACAATCTAAAATACTTATCAGAAACAGTTTCTTATATGACCGGTGGCTTCGGTTGTTAAGGCGATTGAATGTCGATTGGATAGCAGCAACAGTAAAAGGATAGGAGAGAGCAATAAATGAAGCATAAAAACAGAGTATGTTTGGATCAGATCAGGTTTTATTATCGTAGCGCACTGGTAGTCGTGTCAGACGGCACAGCAAGCGTCTCTGCATCTCTGACTCAGGTTCATTCCGGTTGTCGACAGAAATTTTCTACATGAGGATTGGAGTTGGATAGGTAGGTATCCGAAACCACTATAGCAGAGTTAGAGGAACTACTAAACTGGCTGTCTCCTTCTTTCATCATTATTTGTGCTGTTGTCATTGCTATTTTAATTTTATCCTGTCCTTTTTCATCTGTCCGTCATCCACTTCCGTTTTCGTATGACAATAATGCTGTGAATGACCACTGATATTACAGATTCTTCCTTGGCGGTGCTTCTTTGTTCTGAAGAGAAAGCGGGAAATCTCCTATTTCGTCTTCCATAGACTTCAGCTTCGTTAAAACATAAAAATCGGTTGGAAAAAACTACACTCGTACTTCCAGCAAATCATCACACTGATTTTTTGTAAAAAAACAAATGTGCTTGGATTAAGTAATAACAAATGCACAAGTACTCAACATCGACATGACGACTGCAGATCATTTTAGCTTAAGTGGGATGTTAATATGCATGAATGTCATTTTCATCGTGATATTGCTACGTCAACCCATCAGTGTTTCACGTACTTTCAGTGAACGGTAGCCCAAGAACTTATGTAAATGTAATGGACGTAACAAATTTCATGTAACACATTGCTATTATTAGCAGATTTGGAGCGGTCAGACAACACATTGCCGAATTGCTCTTTAACTTAAGAGATTCACCGAAAAGGAACATTGACCTGACCAATCCTTTTGGGAAGTTACAAGCATACCTTAATCTGCCTAAAGTCTCTTTTTTATACGTAAGAATATACAAATAATGCATATCATTGTAACCAACTAACTTCCAAAATCCACGAAAAATTTGGAACGCTTCACGAATTTGCGTGTCATCCTTGCGCAGGGGCCATGCTAATCTTCTCTGTATTGTTCCAATTTTAGTATATGTTCA